AATGGGAACATTTCTACAACAGTCTCTGCCTCCTAGGGAGCTGTGAGGGTACAATTAGAGAATGCACGTGAAGAGCCCAGTGAAGTGTGAACATGTAATGTTGTTGTTAGCTGTGTGATTGAGTTGGCCTCCAGCTACCAGAAACCCTATGTATAGTGGAACAGAACACTGCCTGGCCGGCCCTGTGCCATCTCCATGACCGGTTGTGAATCAGTCTGCTGTGATCCATAGAGTTTTCACTGACTAATTTTTAAAAGTAGATTGACAGACCTTTCTTCCTAGTCTGTCTCAGTCTGGAAGCCCCACTAAAACCTAGTCAGCATCAGAGCAGCACACACACCGACAAGCAGTGGTGGGTGCACATGAAGTGCATTGGCCAGAACCAATCCAGGTCTCCCACATGGAAGATGAGAACCCTATACCACTCCACCAGTGCTGCCTGATACACAGGAAGCACTCAAAACGCAGGCGTGTTGGCTGCTGCTGCTCTGGGGTTGGATTTATGGTCCATGTGGGGCATCAGGAAAGGCTTCTCAGCCTTGAAGGATGAGCAGGAAGACTTGGGTTGGCCACACAAGATGGCCAATTAGGATAAACTCATTTTCTAACTCACTCAGAAAAATTAACATATTGCAATTCCTCAAGTTATAGGGGTTTTTATCTCATTTTTGCAGATGTTATTTATAACCTGCAGCTTCCCAAGTCATCATTCATTGATCTTAATTCCATTCACTCCCCAGTGTCCGACAAAGGAGCATGAATTGACCTTGCAAAGTTGCACCCTTGGCTGCATCCAGCATCCCAAAGGGCTGAGCTCCATCACAAGGAAATGGCAGATGAAGCTCCAAACTGGGATTCAGGAGGTTTTAGGGTCAGTTCCAGGCCTGGCATATCATTTCCTTCCTATACCTATTTGTCTTCAACAACAGCTTCAGTTCCTTGCAGAGTTGGAGTCCTGGAGATTAAAACACTTTTGTCTACAGCAAGAGCAAAGCCTCTGGATTTGTCAGAATAAAAAGCCACAAGAAGAAAGGAGGAGGGTCCCTGCTTCTAAGTACCACATGTAGGCGATTTCAGATCTCGAGTTCATAGGAACAAATTGAATTACAGGGGAGGCAGCTCAGCCATTTGCTGCTGTGGCTTGTTTGAAATCCTTTTAGCGGAAAATTAAAATATTTCACAGAGGGTAATAAAATGCCGGGCTTTTTTAAGGCATGGCTGCTGTGTTAGCTTGGGCAAATAAGTAATTAGGCATTTTTATTTAAGTCCTCCGCATTGTCATTTTCTCTCATTAGTGGAGAGGAAAGGGGGAAAAACTGTTGTGAAAAATGCCTAACCTCTAGAACTCTCCAGAAGGCTAATTATAAAATTGTAAAATAAATAAATAAAATTGAAGAGCAGAACATAAGAACATATGGTACAAACAAAGGGAAGTACATAGAATTTCTTTTCCCAAACACCAGAAACAGAAAAAACGATATCAAAGAGTTCTGTGCTTCCCAAACAGATCTTATCTGAGAGCCAGGGAGTAGGGAGCCTCACAGAAATGTCCTGGGGTCTGGCCCTGGAGCTGGAGAGGATGCTCTGAGCCTGCTCCCTCCCACCCCCCATGCTGAGAGTCCCTACCATTTCTCACCATAATCTGCTTTAAGGAGAGGTTTGGCTGTTCTCTCTGTTGGACATTATACACCCCAACCTCTTCATCTTACAGATAGAGAGACTAACTGAGGTCATGGGTACAGTCTCTTACTCTCTTTCCTCCCCTGTATCCTTGAGTCTCACAACCACTGAGGGCTGAGGGTGGGTTTCAATGCCCATTTCCCCACAGGATTCTGGTCTGCTCCCTGGCCCTGTGCTCTAACTGTAGGCCTGGGGAGTGGGTCAGAAATGTGGCCAGGAAATGACAGAGTGTCGGCCCAGGTCTCTGCACAGCCAGGCTACGCTGGCCATTTTTGAGCTCACCTTCTTCCAGCCCGGGTTCTCTTGTGTGCACTACAAGCGAGGGTTAGGAAGCTGAGGGCTCCTTGGGCAAGGCTGGTCTGAAAGCATGAATAGACCTAAGTGAGGAACACACAGGCATGTTTATAGGAATTTCTTCCTCTTCAAAATTGTCCTAGGGTTTGCATTTATCTGGGGCAGCTTTTTCCCACTCCCAAATCTCCCTCCACCTGAGTTCTCATAGTGATTTTATTTCAGTAGTTGGAGTGGGTGTGTGCAGGGGTGTGCAGGCATTGGGGAGGGTGGATTTGCATAAACTGCCTCCAGCTGCCTGCCAGTCCCACCATCAGAGCCTACATGGGGCTTGTCTTACCCATTCATCTGTGTCTCCCCACCACACTGGCATTTCACTGAGCCATCAGTTCATAACTGTATGCCGGCTCTGAACTGGCCCTAAAGACCTAAGGAGAAAGAGACCCTCAACTCTTTTACTCTTTTAAATCGAGCAATTTTGAAAGAGGAGTAGATATTTGAGAGACCCTAAAAGAGTGAGGAGGAGTCTGCCTCACTGGGACAGGGCGGTGCAGAGATGGATCAGCAGGACAAAGGCGTGGAGGCTTGGAACAGTCCTGTACAGAAGCCACAAGCAGGAGAAGAGGGGCTGGAACACACCAATGCTGAATCAGCTGAGAGTCTGGAGGGCAGATGCTTGAGGCATTCACAGAACCCCTGCATCTGGCATTGATTGTTGTTGTTCCGTACCATCAAGTCCATTTCATAACCACCCTATGTGATGGAGAACCACCTCCAAGAGCTTTTCTAGGCTGTGAGCTTTGCTGGAGCAGATTGTCGGGTCTTTTCCCACCTGGGCTCCTTACCTGGCACTCAGTAGATGTTTAGTGAGTGAGCAGAGGAAGGAGGGAGGGAGGGAAACCAGGAGAATGGGCAAGTAAATTATGGCTTACTCATACAGTGGACAAATTAGAACTATCAACATGAATGAATCTCAGAAACATAGTGTTACATAAATAAAGCAAATTACAGGACAGTGTAACTTATAGTCTCTTTATATGATGTTTTCAACATACATATGTGTGTTGTAGGGAGTCACTGTAGGGAGGGCCTGGGCAGTACAAACAGTTAAATAAGCCCTTGGCAACCAACCAAAAGGCTCAAATTCACACAAAGGCACATATGATGATAAACCTGGTTATCTACAAGGGGCTTCAAAAAAATTCGTGGAAAAATGGAATTAAAAGATTATCAAAATTTCCCACAAATTTTTTGAAGCCCTCTCATATTTCAGAAAGATCAGCCATAGAAAACCTTATGGAGCACAGTCCTACATTGACACACATGGGGTGGCCAAGAGAGAAAGCAACAGGTTTGCTTTGGGTTTGGTATGTGTACACACATATATTAGGGTGAACTACGTAAGGAGCTCTGGTAGTGTAGTGGTTACAAATCAGGCTGCTAATCTCACGGTCAGCAGTTTGAAGCTACCAACTGTTCCGTGGAAGAAAGATGAGGTTTTCTGCTCCCGTAAAGATTTACAGCCTCTGGAACGACTCCACAGCACATAACAACAACAACAACAACAACGTAAGATTGCCAATATTTGACTTTTTTTTTTTTAAGCATACATTTCATTTGTTGCAAACTAAATCACAGCCACATGGAATGGTATACCATGTCATGGAACACTGCTGTCGTTAAATGTTGTTGAGTTGATCCCAACTCATAAAGACCCTATATAGAGTTTCTGAGGGGCAGTTTGGTGGGTTTGAGCCTTTGACCTTGTGGTTAGTCGTCTGTGCTTACAAATTAACCACACATGTAACAATTTGCCTGACTCCTCAGGGAATTATGCTGCGTGAAACAAAAGGAAGAAAGAAGCCAATCTCCAAAGATGCATGATTCCATTTATATAACATGCTCTAAATGACAAAATTATAGAGATGGAAAACAGATTGGCAGGGGGGGAAGGCTGTAAAAGTATAGCCCCGGGGTCCTTCTGATGAAGTAGTAGTTCTCTATCTGGATTGTGGTGGGGTCACTCAGTTGCACACAAGTGATGATTCTCCATGCCAGGGTCCTGGCTGTGGTATTGTAGAGTTATGCAAGACTCTGAATGTTGGGGGAAACCAAGTTAGGGGAATCTCTCTGCAGTCTTTCTTAAAGCTGAGTGTGAATCTACAATCACCTCAGAAGAAAAAGACAAAACACACACACGGGAAAGATAAATGCCAAATTTAATATCAAAGCTATTTCTGAGACTGGTGGATTATATAGTTGAGGAGGTACACTGTAAAGGAGTTAAACATTACCTGTAATGTTTTATTTTTTAGAAGACAAAAATCGTAAGCTAATAAGCATAACGTGAAGATGCTACAAAGCTAGGTGGTAGGTACATAGCTGCTTATTTTATTATTCTCTGCGATTTTTTTGTTATGATTTGGGTGAAAGTTTACAGAATTGGTTTTCTAAGTCAACAATTCCTACCCATTTTGTTTTGTGACATTGATTGCAATCCCCACAACGTAACCACGTTCCACACTTCTTCCCTGTGTTTACTTCGTCTTTCTTTCTGTCCATTCCTGCCTTCTGAGCTTAATCCTTGGGCGATCTTTTGATCTCATTGACTTGATTGGTTTAAGGAGTGTGTACTTCCCTGCTGTTGTTCACCTGATAGTCCTGGTTGTCATTTGACTGAAAGTTGGGCCATGGAGTGAGTTCAGTTCCAGGTCTGAAGAGTCTCTAATGACCATGGTCTCTGGGGTTTCTGTAATTATTTATGTGTTTACTGGTTCATAGTTTTTTAAAAACTGATCTTGCTTAACTCCTTCTGTTCTAAGCCAGGATTGGACCTGGTATACAGAGGCTGGAGAGTGCAAAGATGGGCAGAGGGCCCACCTGAGGGGAAAGGAGGTTAACAGGGGCTGACACTCATAATCCGGGCCCAGCCCACACACACCAGGCAGCGCTCCAGAACTCTGGGGCAGTGGAAGCCGGTCCCTGAGCCAGCTTTGCCCTGTATTGAAATTGTCCTCCTTCTCTTACAGCCCCCGGAGAAGGAGGGCGCTCTGCCTTGGCAGGTGGGCAACAAGACTGAGTGCGGCCTGCTAGGCTTTGTGCTGGACCTGAAGCAGGACTACGAGCCCGTGCGTACCCAGATGCCCGAGGAGAAGCTGTACAAAGTGTACACCTTCAACTCCGTGCGCAAGTCCATGAGCACAGTCATCAAACTGCCTGATGAGAGCTTCCGCATGTACAGCAAGGGTGCTTCTGAGATTGTGCTCAAGAAGTAAGCAGCAGTGGGCAGGGTACTAGAATATCCAGGTCACACAGCGCCTAGCAGCGGGTCACCTAGCCAAGAGGCACAAAGAAGGACACACCCTGCCCAAGGCCACACAGCAAGACTCATATCCAGGGCCTCTTGCCCAGTGCTTTTTCCACTATATTCTCTTTTAAAATTTCTACAGAGTCCTTCTCTTCCTTCCTAAATCATGGGAAGTTCTGCCCATTATCACACTTGTTGTTGTTGTTAAGTGCCTTCAAGTGGGTTCCGACTCATAGCGACCCTGTAAAGGGTTTCTGAGAAGCAGCTAGTGGATTTGAACTGCCGACCTTGCAGTTCAAACTGACTTTGCAGTCCAGTGCATTATACTGCAGCACCACACCAAGACTCCATTATCACACTTCTTGTTGTTGTTGTTAGGTGCCATCGAGTCGGTACTGACTCATAGCGACCTTATGCACAGCAGAACGAAACATTACCCGATCCTGGGCCAACCTCACTGCTGTTGCCACGCTTGAGTCCGTCGATGCTGCCACCTGACCAATCCTTCTCGTTAGGGGCCTTCCTCTTTTTCTCTGACCCTGCACTTTACCAAACACTTAGATCTCTCTTATTTCACTTCCCTTAGGATAGAGTTAGTTAATGGTAGCTCTTTTCATTGCTCCTGGTGTGGCGCTGTAGGGTCAGCACTGGACTACAAACCACCAAGTTGGCAGTTCAAACCTACCATCTGTCCCTTGGAAACACTATACAGGGTCACTATGAGTCGGAACCAACCGGAGGGCTCTTCACAACAACAATTTTCATTGCTGGTCAATTTCCTGGTCCAGGTACTAGAAAGAAGTCTGGAGAGCTAAGTAAGTCACTCCCCTTCTCTGGGCCTCAATTTCCCCCCTTGAGGAGTTTAGTAGCCTCATGGTTCTCAGCCCTGTCTGCACAGTAGAACACCCCCAGGACCTTTTAAGAAATCACTCATTTTTGGACTCACTCCAGACAAATTCAATTAGAACATCTGGAGCAGATATTTGCAGGAAAGCAGCCCTATTTCGGCAGATATTATCTAGAAGGCTACCCGGCTTCTTTTTGGCTGGTTCCAATTTCATCCCTCCCTGGACCCAGGGGCCTGGCCTATGTGCTACCGGCCCTGAAACATATGAGAAATGGACTGGAACCGGCATCACCCGGAAGGAGGCGACAACTCGGGGCTAGTCAGAGGGCAGGTCCCTGAGCCCCTTGGCTGGGCCTAACCCATTGTCCTCTCCTCCTGCCTACAGGTGCTGCAAAATCCTCAATGGGGCAGGTGAGCCCCGAGTCTTCCGGCCCCGTGACCGGGATGAGATGGTAAAGAAGGTGATTGAGCCCATGGCCTGTGACGGGCTCCGCACCATCTGTGTGGCCTACCGAGACTTCCCCAGCAGCCCTGAGCCCGACTGGGACAACGAGAACGACATCCTTAATGACCTCACCTGCATCTGCGTGGTGGGCATTGAGGACCCTGTGCGGCCTGAGGTAGGTCCCCAGGGTCGGCATGCACAGGGAGGGAGCTGGGAGTCAGGGGTCTAGCCCACTGGGGGGCCTAGGATAAGTCACTTCACCTCTCAGAGCCTGTTTCCTTTCATGTCCCCGGGATTCTCTCCTCAGGTTCACTCTCCAGAGCAGCCAAGGCCACACTTGGCCAGGTCTGCTTAGAAGGACACAGGGCAGGAGGCATAGTGAAGGCGGAGCTGCTCCACTCAGAAGTCTCTGTCCTCCAGGAATCAGGATCTCTTGTAAAAAGTCCCTGACCCTAGATTCCAGGATCATGCCCCCATCCCCATCAGTATTCCCCTGTTACAGATGCACTTGATTCTGGAAGTAGTTGACCCTAGAACGATTATCCAGCAGTACCACCAACAGTCCACCTTGATCAGGTTTCCAGCAGAAAAGAACGGAAGACCCAAACGGAAGGCAGGAAGGAAAGGGTTCTGTTAGACAGGGCGCGGCACTGAGGGAAGTCGTGAGTCTGAGTGCACTTAACCACAACAGTGGACACCTGCAGTCTCCCTCTTACCTGTGAGGGGCCTAGAGGGCAGTGTGAGAACGAGGTACCTGGAGGTCCAGCAGAGGTGCTGTGCCCACACCCAACTCTCTGGCCAAGCCTGACTGTGGACAGGTGGGCCTTAGCTGTGAGATTTGGTGATGATACCCCATAAGCCACCTTCCTTCATCAACTTAAGCATCCCAACCCACCCTGCCATAGTTACTGGGAAGCCTTAGGACTGTCCCTACGCCTCTTGGAGCCTCAGTTTCTCCTTTAAAATGAAAGCAAATAAGATGCTTTCCAAGTCCCCAAGTCTGACATTGTAAGATTCTGTGTTCCAAAGACCAAGTCAGACCACAGGGTCATAGACGTGAACTTTTCTCATTTAAGCAATAGAGGAAAAGGTCTAGAAGGAAGAACAAGAGCATCAGACAGACCTGGGATCCTCAGTTCCAACAGTGCTGACTATGTGACAGTGACCAGTTACCTAGCCGCTCTAAACTTCCGTTTCCTCATCTGTGGACTAGGCATAACAGTACTAGTGGTGGTGGTAACGTGCCGTGGAGTCGGTTCCGACTCATAGCGACCCTGTACAGGGTTTCCGAGGCTGTAAATCTTTACAGGAGCAGAAAGCCTCATCTTTCTCCCGCGGAACAGCTGGTAGTTTCATACTGCTGACCTTAAGGTTCGCAGCCCAATTCATAACCACTAAGCTACCAGAGCTCCTTAACAATAATAGTATCTATCCCCAACTTGGAGCTCTGGTAGCGTAGTGGTTACGAATCGGGCTGCGAACCTTAAGGTCAGTGGTTCGAAACTACCAGCTGCTCCGCGGGAGAAAGATGAGGCTTTCTACTCCCGTAAAGATTTACACCCTCGGAAACCCTGTACAGGGTCGCTATGGGTCGGAACCGACTCAATGGCACATAACAACAACAACAACAATCCCCAACTTGGAGTTCTGGTGTGGCGCTGTGGGTTAATGCACTAAACTGCAATGTCAGTTTGAACTGCAAGGTCGGTGGTTCATACTCACCAGCCGCTCCTCAGAAACCCTGTACAGGTTTTGAGTGAGAACCCACTCAACAGCACTTACCAACAACAACAATCCCCCATTCAGGATATTGTAAGGAATCAGATCGTGCACATACAAGCAACAGAGTGTTACAAGGTTGGTGGCCCGGCAGTATGGGTTCCCCCTCCTTCATACCCAATAGATCCATGACTCTAACACAGAGCAGCCCCTAACACATAACCCAGCATACAGAAGGTGTATTTAGTGTGTGTGAAATGAGAATGAGTGGGACTTGGATTCCAGATTCCCAACACCATGTCACACACACACACACACACACACACACAGAGCCTTCCTATGGGGTGTCACTGTGGCCTCCTCTTTCCTACTCAGAACCTAAAACAGTAAACGCCCCTGAGCTGAGCCCACATTCCTCCCAATACAACTGCATCTCCCTGTCTCCCTGGAGAGACAGGCCGTTTATCACCTCCCTGCAGGACGCCTGCTCATTACCAGTGCTAATGGCTTCAGACCTAGCTGGGACATGTTATCTCCTTATTGGAAATCACTCTGAACCAGCGGTGAAGGGTTGTCCCTGAGCTCTGCAGAAGGCCAATAGAACTCTGCAGGGACCCTGTGCCTTCCCAACCTCAGACCTCCCTCTGGCCCCACCTGAGTTCCCAGGAGCATCAGACCCAAACTCTTTGTCCATGACCTGCAATTGAAAATACATTTTATGTCATGACTCAGTAAACAAGCACACACAACCGAAATAAGAACTTCACAAAGTAATGTAGTACCCGTGGGTCTTTTCTAGTCTCTTCTATTCCTTTCTTTTTAAAATGGTGGTGGCCATCTGCTAAACTGATTTCAGTGTTCACTAAGGGGGCTGTGACTCAAGATTTGAGCTGCTGATGTAGTCCAAATGCCATCCCATACACCCAATGTGCAGAAAAGGACGGGGCCCAAAGAAGGTCTCAAAGTCACACTGAGCCCATGCAAGTGACTAAAAGAGACCAGGTTGGTGGTGGTGTGCCAACTCAGGCAACCCACAGGGTTTCCGAAGCTGTAAATCTTTACAAGTGCAGAAATCCTCATCTATCTCCTGTGGAGGGGCTGGTAGTTTAGAACTGCTGACTTTGTAGTTAGCAGCCCAACTCATAACCCTGATGCTACCAGAAGTCTTTGAATCCAGATTAGAGCCAGGTTTTCTGCCTTCCTGCCCCAGAGCTTTTTCTCTTTGATACTACAGAAATGAAGAGGCAAGTGGTTCTAAGTCACAAGCATGAGGGAGCGTGAGGACATTCTCAGGAGCTGAGGAGGCCAGACATGGGCCCCTGGCATTTCTGTTGACAGCAGTTATCAGTGAAGTGGCCTTAAGGAAGTGGGGAAGGGGGCAGTCTGGGAAATGAGAGGCTGTCCCTCTTGCGGGGGCTAAGAGAACTTTCACCATGGGGCATCCTACATGTGAGCAATGGGATGTGAATCCATGTCCCCACTTTGCCACTAACAAGCCACTTCCCTTTTCTGCACCTTGTCTGTAAAATGGAATGTTGACCCAGCTCTGACATTCTCTAGAAGGTTTAACCTTTCATCTTTTTTATCCTCTTCAGTCAGAGCATTCCTGACTTTTCCTCGAGCTGTGAATTTTAAAGGTGTAACTACTTAAAGGAGCTGTGGTAGTGCCACCGTGAGTTAAGCATTGGCTGGCCTACTCTGCGCTATAGAGTTGCTATGAATCGGAATCAGTGGGTGGGTAGAATCGAGAATTACACAGCCCTGGTGGCATGGTGGAATAAGCATTGGACTGCTAGCCAAAAAGTCAGTGGTTCAAACCCACCACCTGCTCTGTAAGAGAAAAAAATGAGGCTTCTTGTTCCCATAAAAATACACTCCTTAGAAACCCAAAGGAGCAATTCCACTCTGTCCTATAAGTTGCTGTGAGTAGGAATTGACTCGGTGCCAGTGGGTTTTATGGTTTAAACTATATTTGATCATTGATACTCAGAGTCAACGGTTCTAATCCTGCCCCTGCCATTCATTCACCAATGACCTAAGGAAAATTTCTTCTCTAGGCCTCAGTTTCCCCATCTGAGAAATGAAGAAGTTGGTCTGCCCAGCATTCACCAGTGAGGTGCACACTCTCTAAAAGCTCAGACCTATTGATTCAGAGTCCCCCCAGATGTGGGTGGAGAGAGGGTGGGCACAAACCCCTCAGAAGCTGACAGGTATGACTTTGATCAGCTTTTCAAGATAGATCATCTGTGCACGTGGAGCCAAATGCAAACAGTTCAAAAGCACAGACAGTATGAAGTAACCTCGCACACTGCCCCCAGCTCCCCGGGTAGTGTCTGTGCCTGTGGTGGGTGTGTCTGTAACACTCTCTGAGGAAACTGAGGCCTAGCCAGGCCTGGACAACCTCTGAGGCCCTTCATACAGGTTCCAGCTCATTTTGCAGTTATCACAGACTTTCAACAACCCCCACCTCCCTCAAAGACAAATATCCCTGTTTCCACCCCCTACCCCACCCCCAAGGAACACAGGACAAAGAAGAGAAAGCCTGCCCCAGCTCTCCCTGGTCCTCGCAGGAGCTTTTCCCCGAGGCTGACTGGAGCCATCAAAGAGAGAGCCCAGGTCTGGGGCTTGCGGGGTTATCCGGGGGTGTTTGGAACCCTGGGAGTCACAGACAAGGGCTGTCACCAGAAACAACAGATGTTTAGAAGCCTTTATTTAATGAAAACAGGAAGCACCCATTTCCTGGCTGGTTTTCCTCAGTGAGAAACATCTAGGATAATTTTAGCAAAAGAAGCTTTTCTTTTCTTTAATTTTTACAAGAATTTTATTTATGGGGAAAAGTCTATCTCATTGCCTCTCAGGGGTAGAGTGTGGATCTTATTCATCTCCATCTCTGTACCCAGACCACTCAGTGTTCCACAGCTGTCTGTCAAAGAAATGTGTGAGGAAGCAATCAAAGAAAGGACTCAGCCAGTTTGGGTTGGAGAAGTCAAGAATGACTTCAGGAATAAAGAACCTTTTAGAAGGGAGAGAGGGCCTTCCAGGCAGAGGGAACAGTAGGACAAAGGCAAGGAGGTGGGAATGTAGAAACAAGGAACTTTGAGTCAAATGGTGGTGGGTTTGCAAGTCCTCAGCCAAATCCATTTGCTCATCACTACATAAAATCATGCTACATAAAAAGATGTGGGTGGTGACCCACATTTACTGGGCACCTCGCCCATGTGTGGAACCTCTGAAGACCAGAGGGCAGGACTGAAGGACATCCAGCGGGGGGGACCCCACCAAAAAGACAGTGGTGGCCCTAGAAAATTACACCACCTCCAGTCCCCCCACCTAGATGTCACAGACCCCTGAAGTGCCTGATTCAGGAACGCTTGCTGCCATTTCTCCCTCACTACATCCCAGAGCTCTGGTAGCATAGTGGTTACGAATTGGGCTGCGAACCGCAAGGACAGCAGTTCAAAACTACCAGCTGTTCCGCACAGCAGGAGAAAAATGAGGCATTCTGCTCCCATAAAGATTTAAAGCCTCGGAAACCCTGTACAGGGTCTCTATGAGTTGGAACCGACTCCACGGCACATAACAACAACAACATCCCAGAGCAGGAAGATCACCAAACAGGACCACCCTTCCCCCTACCCTCCTGTCCGCCCTGTGCTTGGTCCTGTCACAGAATTCCCACCCACCCACCCATTTTACAGATGAGGAAAACAAAGCTAAGGTGAGATTCCATCACAGGTCTGTCTGCCCCCAGGGCAAAAGACCAGCTCAGCTTTCGATGCCTGAGCCCTCTGTCCCTAGACAGGGACACTTTCCTGTGCAGTCTCCACAGAGGGGTCATAAAAACAGCCTCTTTCTTTTTCTCCTGGGACCTTCTTGTCTAGGAAGGTGGGGTGGGGTGCCTTCCGCACAGACAGAAGTCTGCTCCCTGAGAGAGCCCTGAGGGTCGAGTCTTTCTACTACTCACACCATGCAAGTTCAAATTCACACAGTTCCCAGTCCTGAAGGACACAGTCCTAGTTTCTGGTTCCAGAACCTTTGAACCTCAAGACCCTCTCTAACTTCCTGGCACTCAATCCCCATCCCACATCCTTCCTCTGCTTCAGAACTTCGAGTTCCCTCCTGGCCTGTTCCCTTAAGCTGTACCTTGTGGCTGGTCTGCCCAAGCACGTCATGGAACAAGTCTGTATGGTGTGGCCCCAGCCTCAGGCATAGTGCCAGGCAGTTGGTATTGATTGAACAGAACCTGCCCAATCACCTCCTCTAAGAAGCTGTCATAGATTTCCCCTCCCCTTCCCTCTAAAGTAATACCACCTCCTATGTATCCCGGAGCCCTTGTCTTCATCTCCTGCAATGAACTCAGTCTATAGCTATCTGCCCCTGGAGTAGAGAATGCAGGTCTGACCCAGATCACCTGCCCCATTCTCTGCACAAAGAACAGTTAAGTGAGACAATAAGCTAAACTTGTTCTACCGCAGAACAGTCAACTTTGGAGGAAGTGAGCACCCTGTCATCATGTGTGCAAGCAGAGGCTTCCCAACTATATTCTGGGAACACCAAAGAGGAGACCCAGACAAGGAGCAGAGTGTCAGATTCAATGGCCCAAAGTCCTTTCCAACTCCAAGACCTTAAGTGTCTTTAAAACAAACATAACCTAAATTCTTCCACAAATATAAGGTATGTGTTCCCAAAAGAACAGTGGATCTTACCCTTCTGCTGGGGCAGGAGACAGCAAGGGGCTGCAGTCCAGTGACAGCGAATGTGTGGACATCAGTAAATTACGTAAACAGCATCTTGTGCCGTCCCCATCCCCACTCCCTTAGGCTATTTGCTTGTGTGAGCAGAGGCTGTGGCCGTGCTTACATGGCCCCTGAACAGTTCCCGGAATGTTCTTCCCCTGTCTGAGTGCAGACTGCAGGAGGCCAGCAGTCCCACTCTGCTCTGACCCTTCAGCGTGCCCATAGCCACGGAGCCTGTCTATAAGATTGCTCTGTTCGCTCAACAGGTCTCCTTATCTTGGCCTGGAGCTTGCCCTCCAGCCCTCACTCCTCAGGTCCACCCAGTTCTGCCCTCAGGGGCCACACTACATGATAAATGGCCACACCTGGATATTTCTCTTAAAAGTGGAGCCCCTGAAGGAAAGTGAGCTCTGCAGGCTGGTGGCCAAGGCAGGCAAGAAGGTGGAAGATGGACAAGATCAGAGACAGGTCGACCAGAAAGGAGGCTTGGAAGTGGCTCCAGCTTGTAATGAAGGGGGATAGACAAAGTGAGACACAGCCAAGGCCTAGCCTTGTTTTCACAGTGCTTGAGGGTAGAAGGGGGTTACTGGACAGGAGGTATCCACAGTCAGGTTTTGAACCAATGTCCTCACTCTTCAGACTCTCAGTGGTATTTGGGCTAGGCGGGTGGGAGTAAATTCCGGGTCACTGCGGTCTGCAAGCAGCATATTGTGTGGGCCTCGGTTCTTCCGGACCTGAGAGTCTAACATGTTTTGGTCTTTCGGTACAACGGAGTTTCCTGCCCTTAACACATTCTCTGTCTCTCAAAGACAATTTGCAGCAAATACAGCCTTCTTATAATTCCTTACTGTCCCCGGTAGGAATCACTTGTGCAGGAAATCTGAGTTGTCTGTAAAGGACCATACCAGCTCCAGGCTAGTTTACTGGGCAGAGTGTCTTGGTGGTGCTAACGATTAACATACTCAGCTGCTAACTGAAAGGTTGTAGGTTTGAGTCCACCCAGAAGCACCTCAGAAAAAGGCCTGGGAATCTACTTCTGGAAAATCAGCCACTGAAAACCCTGTGAAGCACAGTTCTACTGTGAGACACGTGAAGGCGTCATGAGTCAGAGTCTACTTGATGAGAACAGGCTAACTGCAGGGCAGAACCATAGTATGGGGCTGGGCCCTGGCCTTGCTGACCTCTGATTGGCTGGATCTGCTCTGGCCTGATTGGCCCAGATGTTGTATTTTACCTGAAGCACAATCAGTCATTTGCATTTATTCTAAACCAATGTCACATTCTGAAGTAAAATGCCCCCAAATGCATTGTCAGAAAAAACTATGTTGTGCGCCCTGGCCTGAGGCCAGAGAATGAGGGGGTGTTTATTGGAGTCTTTCCTCATCAGGAAAGCCAATGGTTTCATCTCTGAACGTCGGACTAGTGGATGATTTGGTGGTGACTGTCTGGGACTCTGTACAGAGAAGATTCTGAGAACACATCAGGGTTTAATCAGAAGATACTGTAATTGATTAGTAATGCCTACCATGGGTGCAGGAAGGGAGGCAGTAGCCCATGTGCCTCATTTGTCATCATTATTTATCAGTCATCTATCCTATTACGGAGTCTTGGTGTGACTCTGTAGGATCAGCACTGGACTGCTAACCACAAGGTCAACGATTCAACCCCACTAGCTACTCACCGGAAACCCTATACAGGGTCACTATAAATCAGAACCAACGCAACAAAACTTAACAACAACAGCCCCCTTACACTGGAGTGCCTGCTCTCTTGTCCAGGTCCCAGAAGCCATTCGCAAATGCCAGAGGGCAGGCATCACAGTCCGCATGGTCACTGGTGACAACATCAACACAGCCCGGGCTATCGCCATCAAGTGTGGCATCATCCATCCTGGGGAAGACTTCCTGTGCCTTGAGGGCAAGGAATTCAACAGGAGGATCCGCAATGAGAAAGGGGAGGTAGGTGGCCCAACCTAAAGATACTCAGAGGGATGTGCTTGCACGGGGACTGGGAGCCACGGGCAATGCATGAATGCACAGAAGCCAGCCAGTGTGCCGCTAAGAGTCCAGGGTCTCTGGGCAAGTCCCTTCCCTTCTCTGGCCTCCGTTTCTCTTTCCAACCCCACTGATTCTCCTTCCCCGCAATCCCTCTGCAGATTGAGCAGGAGCGAATCGACAAGATCTGGCCAAAGCTACGAGTGCTGGCCCGCTCCTCTCCCACGGACAAGCATACCCTAGTCAAAGGTAAGACCTGTGTGGGCTTGGGCAGAGGCCTCTTACACATCAGGACCTTCTTTCCAAGAGGGAAGGGCCCTGACCTGGGGCTCCTCACACCTGGGCCACCCTTGTCTCATCCCCTTGGCAGCCCTGGAGGGCCTCCTGTGGTCCAGAATGACAGGAGGGATCATAAGTCCTCTCTTCCCAAGGTCTTCACCTCCTTCAGGGAGCAATGAGAAAGTGGGACCCACACACATGCTTTATTTGGCTGGTGCAGGGCCTTTGTTTTAGGGTGAATTTGAGTCTGTGTGTACAACAGCTCTGCTCTCTCTTATTGGGCACCTCTCCCTATTACTCTACACTTAGCCCACTGCACTTGTTTTGAGTACCCACCTGGCCTCAGAGGTGTATGCGTTTGAGATCCTGGATCAGTTGGGGATCTCTGAGGCCCCCAACCAATATTCTGTGACCAGAACCAAAACCTGAGAAAGATGAGTCCAGAGCCAAATCTGCCTCCCTCCCCATCTCCTGCCAGAGAGAGGGCACCCCACTTACTGAGGCCCTGCTAAGGGACCCAGACCTGGGCACTTTTAGAATCAATCACACAGCCCTGGGTTCAAATCCCAGCTCTGCCATTGACTGCTCTGTAATCTTCAGAAAATCTCTTCCCCTCTGGGACTGTTTCCCCATCTGTACAATTGGGGGGATCACTTTCTGGACATCTGGACATCTCAGATTTCTTTCACAGAGGTGCTGTCTGAGGGCATTCATGCAAGCACATCTGGCCTGGGGGCAGACACACAGAACCCTGGGTACTCAGCAGGAGGCTGCACCCCCGAACCCATCCCCATTTTTCAGAGAGATAGCATTCTGCCCCTGACTCATGCATTCACTCACTCACTCTTCACGTGCTTCTTGTTGAGGGCCTTCTCAGCTGGGGCCTCTCCCTCTTGGAATTCACAGTCTTTCTTTCAAATGCTGTGGCTGTATTTGCAGCAGCGTGGGGCACACTGCTGGCCTTTGAGCTAGGCAAAGTATCAGATCAGAAGTGGTCAGTGGTGTAGGAGCAGGGGACTGGACTGTGAAGGCCCAGGAACAAAAGGTTTCTGGGCTCCTTCAGGAAAGAAGTTCATTGGGATTGGGCTGGGAAGAGAGAAGAGGTTCTAATGAGCTTGGTGCTGGCATTAGATCGGCAGGGTCTGGAACGCCAGGCCAGGGCCAGGGATCCACGGGAGGACTTGAGAGAAGTAACCATCCAGATGGGCTGGCTGGGCAGTGCCAGTGAGGGTGCAGGTCCTGGCTTGTGGTTGTTGGAATGTAGTCAAATCCTGGTATGGTGCTATAGGTTAATGCAAGGTCAGTTTGAACGTCAGGGTCAGCGGTTCAAGCTCACAGCCACTCCTTGGAAACTCTATGCAGGGTCACTATGAATTAGAACCAATTCAACAGCACTTAACAACAACAGTGGAGTTTGAGGAGATGCTTGCTTCCTGGATCCCTCCTCCTACAGCTGTCTAAGCGTTTACTAGGTGCCAGCACTACCTCATTTTTGATAGGGCATGTGGGGGTTAGGAGTCACTGAAACTGGGGGGTAGCTTTAAGGGGAAACTGATGCATTCGGTTTAGGCCCAGCTGAACTGAAAACCCCTGATGTCCACATGAAAATTCCAGAAGAAAGTGGGGCATTGGGACGGAGTTCTGGGGCAAGCTAGACATGGGGAGGGAAGAAGAGTCAGACTGAGAACTATCCAAGGAGAGACAGCCGGAGGGGTAGGACAGACTCCAAGAGCCAGCAGTGTTTTGGAGACAAGGAATCCTTCGAGAAAAGAGGTGTAGGCCACACTGTGAACAGCCACTGAGGGGTCCAGAGACAATGGCACAGTAGAGAGAGCAGATTAGAGAGGGAGCCCAGGACCACGGTGAGGATGCTGCACTTGATGTGCTTGGTGAGAGGGACATGTCCAGATTCACTCCCTGAGTTCCGAGCCCCTCAAACTTTACCAGTCCCCCGTGATCTCTCCCATCCACCGTTTCCACTGGCCCCTGTTAATGTCATTTACCAAACTCTTTTGTGGATGGGTGTCTGGAGTGAGCCTGGGTCAGTGGGTTGTCAGCAAATGGCACAGCCAAAACTTCCTCAGCATGATTGGACTCCCCAGGAGGCCTGGCAGAGGAAGCAAGGTCCCTGGAGACAGAGGGAAGGTGTTTCTGCTTAGGGTGACCTCCTATGTGACCAGAACCATGGGTCTGCAAGGACAAAGAGGGGTGCTAGAGAGGTGAAAGGTTCCAGCCACAGGGGACCTGCAGCCAACATTGGGCTAAGGTGCTCCGACATCCCCTGAGGATTCTGGGAGCCATGGATGAGCCTGGAGCTGGAAGGAGTTGGACCTGCCAGGACTGGATGGCTGCCTGTTCCCGAGGTGGCCTAGGGCCCTGAGCATGCACCCATTCCACAGGCATCATCGACAGCACCCACACTGAGCAGCGGCAGGTGGTGGCCGTGACCGGAGATGGGACCAACGACGGGCCTGCTCTCAAGAAGGCTGACGTGGGGTTTGCCATGGTAGGGGCAGCTCGTCTGCAGGCAAGGGCGGAGGACGGGGTGCACTGCCAAAGCCTCTGCCTGGGGTGGAGGAGCTGGGAGAGGTCACATTGAGGTAGACCGAGGCTGTGAAGAGAGTCCCTGTACGTTGAGGGTGCATGGAAGACCGAACATGAGATTGTATAGGACTGAGTAGGCGCGTGTGTGTATTCTATACATTGAGGCTTCATAGGGGCATGAGGGCAGTATGGCCAGAGCTGACCTTGGTGTCCAGCTCACCTCCTCTTGGCTGCCCCACCCAGGCTCCTGTCCCTGTCCCCACAGGGCATCGCAGGCACAGATGTGGCCAAGGAGGCCTCTGACATCATCCTGACTGATGACAACTTCAGCAGCATCGTCAAGGCCGTGATGTGGGGCCGCAACGTCTATGACAGCATCTCCAAATTCCTGCAGTTCCAGCTGACAGTCAACGTGGTGGCTGTGATAGTGGCCTTCACGGGCGCTTGCATCACACAGGTCAGTCCTCAGGCACGGGTGGGCAGAGATGTACCACTGTCTGGGGGAGGGCAGGGTCCTGGGTGTCAGAACACCAGGGGTAGACATAGCCATCAGCAAGGGTCACTGAGGTCAGGAACTGCACCAAAGACCTTGATGCAGCCGAGGTGGCCATTGAGGAAGTGCGCCCAGGGTCACTCAACAAATGAGATGCCAGGGCTGGTGCCCATACCTGTCTGACTCAGCCACAGCATCTGGTCCTGCTTTAGCAGGAAGGAGAAGTGTCATTCAAGGTGAAGGTAGAGTCCCGCAGGCCAAAGGGAGAGAGGGAGGCAGAGATGGGATGGACTCAAGGGGAATCTGGCAGTTCCAACTGAGGGCAAGGACCCAGAGGGACCTGGGCTGCTTAGTTGTAATATTCCAGGTGTCAGGGGAAGGCTGTGGGGGCAGGAAGAGGGTCCTGTCTCTGTGGGAGAGGCAGGAGTTGGCCCAGATCACCACACCTGGAATTCAAGCTGTTCCACGCCAGGGCAGGCCTGGGCCCAGCTATCACAGAGGAAAACGGAGGCTCTGAGAATGGACAGGCCAGTGCTCAGTGGTCATCTGTGTCCCCAAACAATTGGCCTGCCTACCCCAGGGGCTGACCAGACTGAGCTGTGCAAGAGAGGGTGGGCTCCGTTGATCCCGGGGCCTCCCCAAGGCAATTGGGTAAACAAGTTCCTGCCCACAGGAGCCCCTGGAGGCCCAGAATGCTTTACTTCCTCGAGAGCTGTGTTTGGCCCTCCCCTAGGGAAGCTGCCCCCCCATTTGCTGCTTTCTGAGTCCTGGGATGTCCCTGGCCACTACCATACCAAGACCACTGTCAGATCCTCCTACCTAGAAAGGCCTTCTATCCTGGTCTGTGGATGAAACACTCCCTCTAGTGGCAGTTCGGGAGACACGCTCTTAGCAGTAGCAACTCACAAATTTCCTAGGAAACCAACTGATGCCACATTAGAAAACTGGAGTTCCAAAAGTTCAATTTGTCTGAGGCCTTAGATTCATTAGTGGCCAATGTGGCTAGGTCATGCAGGCCTTGGGTGGGAAGATGAAGGGACCTGACCTAGAAGGGGGAACAGGCTATCAGAGTAAAGGGGCAGGAGACTGTGATTCCCCAGGCAGGGTAGCACAGGATGGGGAGTGTCACTGAGCTGGGGCTGGGAAAAATATCTAGGAGGAAGATGAGCAGACTTGGGGAGTAAGTGTGTGGGGTACAGACAGAGAGGCCTGAGAGAGAAACAGAGAACAGAAGAGCAGCTACTTTGGACTGTGGGCTTCCTGGAAGAGGCATTCCACAGGGTGAATGAGGCTAGGCCAGAGAGAACCAAGTGGAAGTCATGAGAGAGAGGTAGGCACCTGAAGCCAGGGAGACAGGTGTGGAGAGCAGGGGCCAAGGAGGGGCAAAGGGAGCCCCTGAAGAACGTGAAGAAGGAATATCCAAGAGAGGAAGGTGGACCCCGAGCCAAGGGGAAGGAGTGTACAGGGTGGGAGTCAGTGAGATGAGGCTAAAGACTGCCTTCCTCGATTCTTGACAGGGAAACCTCACAGGTAACCGTGGAGAAAGGCATTCTGGGGGTGTGGAGAGGTCAGAGTCAGGCTGCCGTGGATAAGACAAGGAAGGAAATATGCAGGTTCAACTCATTCTGACCCAAGGGTGGGGAACCTTTTTTCTGCCAAAATTTATTACATCTTTCGTAGACCATACAAAATTATAACTTAAAAATTTGTCTGCTTTCTTCTGTCAGACATTTAATTAACTCACCCCTAATGTGCTGTCTGTGCTCTGTGGGTTAACGCGCCAGACTGCAAAGCCATTTGAACTGCAAGGTCAGTGGTTCAAGCCCACCAGCTGCTCCTCGGAAACCCTACACAGGGTCACTATGGGTCGGAACTGACGCAGCGGCACGTAACTACAACAATGTGCTGTCTAGAACTGCAGTTGCCTGGGCAGGGCTAGTAGACCAAATGATTTCGCAAGCCTTATACAGTGCACAGGCCAGATGTTCCCCCCACCTGGTTTAGACCAAGTGATACGATTGTGCACAGAACAATACAAATAGGACAATCCCAACCTCAGCCAGAGAGAGATGTATGAGTAGATGAACTCCAAAATGCTGAGTAAGTGGTGAGATCATCTGAGTTTTAGCTTTATTTGCTATTCCTTACTTTCCAAAACTTTGTACCATGAAAATGTTTTAGTTTTCAATCACAGATTTATGAAGGTTACTCAAAATGTATTGCTACTAGGGCACTTGTCCATATCTGCATGAGTTTATTACAAACAAAACATGTTTAAACAAGTCTCTTTGGCCAGTGGATGGCTGCAGACAAGTCTTTCAGTAAGACACTTGTTAAGTTGCTAAGTGTCATCGAGTTAATTCTGACTCAGCGATCAAGAGTCAGAACATACAGAGTTTTCAAGGTGCATCTGGTGGGTTTGAACTTTCCACCTTGTGGTTCGCAGTCCAGTGCTTATTCTACAGCACCACAGCAGAACTCCATTGTTGTTGTTGTTGTTAAGTGCCATTGAATCGGTTCCAAGTCATAGTGATCCTGTATAGCGTTTCCCAGGAGCAGCTGGTGGGTTTGAACTGCCAACCTTGTGGTTCACAGTCTATCGCTGATCCTACAGGTCGATAAAAACAGTGGCTTCTGAAGGGCTCTGCTGGGCCTGTTACAGTCAAGGCAGAGAGGTCGGCTCAGAAGGTTGCAGAGGCTGTTTGGGGAATTTTAAAGGAGTCGTCTTGATCAAAAAGACTCATTACGAAGAAGTTTAGGAAAATTGAAAACTGCGTTGGTGAGGAAAAGGCCAGGAAAGTTTCACTGAGGAATCTTGTTCTATCACCACAATCACCTGTTACCCCATCTAACCCTACTGCCCTGAACTTGGCCCAACAGACTTCTTTGTGTTCCCAAAACTCAAAGAGCACTGAACAAAAACATTCTTCGAGTCCCTCAAGGATGCCAAAATTTCCATTTTGACGTAGTATAAATCGAAGAATGCAGAATTCTTTGGGAAAGGGTTAGAAAGATGGAAACACCACCTTCAGATGTTGTATATAGACCTGATTTTAGGGACTTCTGGCAAGATGGTAGGTAGACTAGGCAGACAAGCTCCTCATACCTCTTCAACAAAGGTACAAGAAAACAAGTGAAATAGACACTGGTGATAATTCTGGAGCTCTGAGCTTCAAAGAAAGGCATAAAGAAGTAGCTGGGAAATTAACCTCGTAAGGCTGAAAATAAGGAAGCTGAGCTCTCAGTTTTTAAACAAGAACAACTACAAAGCAAAAAAGGGAATAAACAGAACTTCCAAGTGGAGAGAAAGTCAAGATGATTTCAAGATACTCTTTTAAACTTGGAGAGAAAACAATGAATCAATAAATCCTCACATCAAAATTAAAAAGAGGAAAATCATGAAGATGTAGTAAACACTCAAACAACAGCAATGAAGGAAATGATGAGCAAAGTCATACACAAAATGAACTCAGAACAGAAAACCTTGCAGAACAAAGAAATCAGCAGTACCACATAAAACACACACAGAACAAAAAGACAGCAACAAATGAACCTATCGATAATGCTACTGAATGCAAATGAATTAAATACAATAGGCAAGAAACAGAGTCCTGGTGTGGTGCTGTAGGATAAGCACTGGGCCACAAGGTCTGTTTGAACCTCAAGGTCAGCAGTTCAAATCCACCAGCTGCTCCTCCAAAACTCTGTACAGGGTCACTATGAGTCAGAAATGACTCAACAGCACATAACACAACAGTGAAGAAACAGAATAATAAATAACAGATAATAAAACATGACCCATCAGTATGCTGTCTATAAAAGACTAAATTTGAACAGATTCATAACCAAAGAAGAAATAAAATAGATCATTAAAAAGGCTGCCAACAACAAAAAAATGTCCTGGCTTAGATGGTTTCACAAGGAGTGGCTGGTGAGTTTGAACCACTGACCTTGCAGTCCAGCGCCTTAACCCACAGCAACACACCAGGACTCCATTAAGAAGAGAGTGGATACCAATTCTACTAAAAACTATTCCAGAATATATAAAAGGAAAGAATATTTCCAAATTCATTTTATGAAGTCACTACTAATAAAGAAAATTATAGCCAACATCTTTCATGAACATAAACACAAAAATTCTCAGCAAATAAATTTTTTAATTCTCAGCAAAATTCTAGCCAACAGAATCCAACATAAGAATGGAAGGAAGGTTCAATATTAGAAAAATAACCAATGTAATCTACCACATAAAACAAAGGAAAAGCACCACATGATCATATCAGTCGATACAGAAAAGGCATTTGACAAAATCCAAAACCATTCTGAATAAAATTTCTCAACAAAATAGGAATAAAAGGGAAATCCCTCAGCATAATTAAGGGCATATATACAAAACCAGTGGTAACAATAGTCTCCATGGAGAGAGACTGAAGACATTCCCCTTGTGAACAGGAAGCGACAGGATGCCGTTTATCACTACTCCCACACAATATTGTGCTGGAAATCCCAGCCAGAGCAATAAGACATGGGAGGGAAACTGAAGGCATCCAAATTATCAAAGAAGTAAAATTATCAAAGAAGTAAAACCATTTCTAGTTGCAGACAATATGATCCCATACACAAAAAATCCCAGGGACTCAGCAAGAAAATTACTGGAACTAATTGAAAGATTCAGTAAAGTGGCACAGTAAAAAAAAAAGAAAGAAACCAGACTCATATGTCACACCAAAAATGAATTCGAGGTGGATCAGAGACCTAAATGTAAAATTTAAAACTGTGAAAATCATCTAAGAACAATAGAGACAGACTTAGGGGCCCTAATACATGGCATAAATGCACTACCAACCATAACTAAAAGCATGCAAGCATCAGAAGACAGACTAAATGACTGGGACCTCCTAAAAATTAGACACTTAAGCACATCAAAAGATTTCACTAAAAGAGTTCAAAAAGAACCCACAGACTGGGGGGTATAGTTTGGTAGAGACATGTTGGACAATGACCTACTCTCTAAAATTTATAGAAAACTTCAACATCTCAACAACAAAAAGACAAATCATCCAATTTAAAGGTGAGCAGAAAGCATGAATAGACAGTTCTAATCCCAAGAAGACATTCAGGCACCGACAAACACATGAAGAAATGCTTACAATCATTAACCATTAAACCAAATCAAAACAAAAAATACTGCCATCAAGTCGATTCCAACTCATATTGACCCTGCAGAACTACTGCCTCAGGCCTCCAAGGCTGTACATCTTTACGGAAGCCGATTGCCTTATCTTTCCCTAGCAGAACAGCTGGGTTTCGAACCACCAACCTTTTGTTTAGCAGCCCAGTGCATGACTCATTGTGCTACCAGCATCAATAGCACAGTTCAGAAAACAACAAATGCCAGTGAGGTCGTGAAGACACTGGAACCTTCATACACTGCTGGTTGGGCTGTAAAATGGTACATCACTGTAGAAAGCAGACAGCATTTCCTTAAAAAGTTGAAACTAGAAGTACCAGCCACCCCACCACTAGGTCTTTATTCTAGAGAAATAAGAGCTGTGATATGGACAGACAAATACACACCATGTAGGACTCTTCACAATAGCAAAAAGATTGAAACAGCTAAATTCCCATCAGCAGATAAGTGGATAAACAAACTGATACATACACACCATGGAATACTACGTTGCATTATAGAATGCCAAGAGAAATGAGTCGACGGCACTTGACAACAACAACAACGTATGTGTGTATGTATGTATATATATATGTTATTAAAACTGCCAGCAAGTTGGTTCCAACCCATTGGGTTTCTGAGGAGCAGCTGGTGAGCTTGAACCACCGACCTTGTGGTTCAAACTGACTTTGCAGTCCGACACATTAAGCACTGGACTGCAACCACAAGGTCAGCAGTTTAAACCCACCACTGCTCCTCGGAAACCCTATACAGGGCCCATGTGAGTTGGCACTGACTCAACAGCTCTTACCAACAACAACATCTATAAATGTTTGACAAAGAGTATTTCTCTATTATATTTCTCTACATATGGTTCAAATATATCCATGAATACAGGAAGCCACATTATGAAAACTTCTTGCCCATAGCCAGACACCTGGAGGGAATGAGTCTCTGGGCCTAGGGACTCAGGACTATAGTCTCATGGATACCAAGGTCAATTGGCATGACATAGTCTGCAAAGACATCCCACTTTGGGGAGCAGTGACCGGGATCTTAAAAGCTTGTGTGTGGCCATCTAAGGTTCAGCTATTGGTCTTTCCCTGTCTGGAACAAAGAAGAGTGAAGAAAATCAAAGACACATGGAAACAGTTAGTCCAAAGGACTCATGGACAACACAAACATCAGCCTCCATGACCTAAAACCCAGTCTTGTCTCCTGGTTACCACTACCAACCACCCTGAAAGGGATCGTGTTAAAAGATTCTGGATAAAATGGGAGAAAATTGTGGAACAAACTCAAAATCATATAAAAGACCAGCTAATTGATCAGATAGAGACCAGGGGAACCCCCAAGACAATAGTCTTTAGTCACCTTTCAGACCTGGGACTAAAGCCTCACCCTGTGGTTCAATTTTCAGCCAAACAACAGACAGGTCTATACAGGCAACAACAACACTAGGGCGGTTTACAGTCCTTTGGTGTACACAACCATTCAAGATTAAAAGGGCAGCATTTTCCCAGGGATCAAATGTGGAAAGCAGGAAAGGTTAGGAAAGAAGGAACCAAACGGAGGATGTAGGATGAGTGCTGTCACATTGTGGGGGTTGTAATCTGTGATAGGGGACAAGTATGTATGAATTGTTGAATGGAAACCAGATTTTCTCTGTAAACCTTTACCCAATCCACATTCAAAAGTTTAGAAAAGAGAGAGGGAGACAGAGACAAAGAAATGTATAGACCTGTTGTTGTTGTCATGTGCCATGGAGTCGGTTCCAACTCATGTACAGGGTTTCTGAGGCTATAAATCTTTACGGGAGCAGAAAGCCTCATCTTTCTCCCGCGGAACGGCTGGTAGTTTCCAACTGCTGACCCTGAGGTTTGCAGGCCAATTTGTAACCACTACGCTACCAGAGCTCCTTACGTGTAGACCTAGATAGAGGTTATGTCAAGAAGCAATAGTTTCACCTTTTTATACTTTAGTTTAATAAAGGTGTCTATGGTCTTATAGTAATACTTTTTTGACTTACTGTGTATACAATCATATTTTTAGGGTAAGGTGAGATGATAAGAGGAGAGGCGAAATTGAGTGACAGTCAGAAGAAGATAAGGTCCTGACAATTGTTTTAGGATAGATAGACTTGAGCCATTGATGACTGAAGGAATGAGCACCAGAGCTGGCAGTGGGAGGCTGAGGAAAAAGGGGCTGGTGGGTGAGGCTGTGCTGGAGGCAGACACATCCACAGACGCTGGAGAAAAGGAAGAAAGAAGATGTTAGGCTGTCGCTAAATTTACTGGAAGGCAAGGAGCTGGTGATCATCTGGCCGGGAGGATTATATCTTCTCCTTGGGAGAGAGGCAGGTCTGGGTTGTTTTCCAGAGAAGGCTTCGGTGAACCTGCTGCTCAGGAACCCAAGGGGGCAGGTCAGCCAAGGGTCTGGGCCTCCAACCCACTGGACAGGGCTTCCTTCCATACCCAGTCCCTGTAGGAAGTATGAAGGCTGGCTCCCCAGTAACAGCCCTTTTATGTCCTGTCCCAGGACTCCCCTCTGAAGGCTGTGCAGATGCTCTGGGTGAATCTCATCATGGACACATTCGCCTCCCTGGCACTGGCCACAGAGCCACCCACTGAAACTCTACTCCTACGGAAGCCGTACGGCCGCAACAAACCCCTCATCTCACGCACCATGATGAAGAACATCCTGGGCCATGCTGTCTACCAGCTCACCCTCATCTTCACCCTGCTCTTTGTGGGTGAGTCCCCCACACTGCCCATACCCCTCGGTGTCGAGATCACTGACTTCTGGGTCCACAGATACATTCCAATGGAAGTTGAAGCCCAGAGAGGTAAAGTAACTTGCTCAAGGCCGCACAGCAAGTCAGGGTCAGAGTCTTCCCATTCAAGCCTGGCAGACTGCAAAGCCAGTGCATTGAGTATGCGGTTTATAAGGTGGTGTGTGAGTGCCCCTCACTGGGGTGAGCCACAGGTATTATATATGTATTATGTATGTTTCCACAGTGCACACATGTAAGCCACCTTGTGTCACTCTTACAACCACTCTGTGAGGTAGGGCAGTGTTGTTGTTGTTGTTATGTGCCGTGGAGTCAGGGCACATAACAACAGGGTTTCTGAGGCTATAAATCTTTACGGGAGCAGAAAGCCTCATCTTTCTTCTGCGGAACAACTAGTAGTTTGAGGCACACAGAAATGAGGAGAGGCACGCGGTCCACCTGAAAAGAAGCTGGGTGCAGATGCTGGTCCCATGGTGCTGCCTCATTCAGACATGATCCAGACAAAGCCTTCCCCTGGTCTCTGATGAGGAAACAGAGACCCAGAGAGGGAATGGAGCCAGTCCACAGTCACACAGCAAGTCAGGGCCAGCCCAGTGTCCCCAGCCTGGCTCTTGGATCTCCCTCTGGGACAGCCTTCTTCCACATGCACCTCCTTGAACTGGGTTTTCAATGCCACAAGCACGTGCCCTGAGAACCAAGCTGGCAGCAGGGCAGGGGTCCCATTCTTTTTCCATAAATTCTCAAGAAGCCTAGGATGTGCTATGGTGTAGATGTGGGCTGCTGTGTTAGGTGCTGGGGGCCCCACTTTAGCCTACTCTCAGTGGTCTTAGATTCAGTTAGACATTTCACACACAGAAACCCTCACAAACCCTCCCAGGACCTGGTCATCAGCTTTGCAGAAGGGGGACAGGACATGCCATGGCAAAGGTCCATACTGCAGTCCAGGGGCCACTCTGCTCCACCTCCCCTGTCCCTGGGACAGCTCAACTGTGGAGGATCAGGCTGTGGTGGGGGGACAGGGGGCAGAGCCAGCCCCAAGCTCCATATAGGAGCCCACAGCTCTTGTGACAGCTCGCAAGCTTCTAGAACCCCAGCAAGGAACATGCTCAATTACAAGAGCCAGCACTTGCAGAGGAGCTGAAAGCTAGGCTTCTCACCATGTGTTCATATCCTCCCAGTCCCATGTGTTTGTAACCAAGGTCACCTGGTATTCCACAGCACAAGTGGGAGAAAGTTACCCCAAGGTCTTTCTCCCAAAAAACCCTTCACCACACTCACCAGCTACCCGGCAGCATAGGCACACCCCACACCTCACCTCCACAGCCCACCCAGCTTCTCAGTGAGTCAGCCAAGGAGCTCCCAACCCGCCCCCAGCGCAACCCCTGCCCTCTGGTTGGCAGGTGAGAAAATGTTCCAGATCGACAGTGGGAGGAACGCGCCCCTACACTCCCCGCCCTCAGAACACTACACCATCATCTTCAACACCTTCGTCATGATGCAGCTTTTCAATGAGATCAACGCCCGCAAGATTCACGGCGAGCGCAATGTCTTCGATGGCATCTTCCGGAACCCCATCTTTTGTACCATCGTGCTGGGCACCTTTGCCATCCAGGTAGCCAGCATCCTCTTCACCTGGGCCAGGGTGGGCAGACCCCTACCCGGGCCCTTGACCACCTGTCTCTCTGTCCCTCTCTGCTCACCTTTGACTTCCAGATAGTGATCGTGCAGTTTGGGGGGAAGCCCTTCAGCTGCTCACCACTGGAGCTGGACCAGTGGATGTGGTGCATCTTCATCGGGCTAGGAGAGCTCGTCTGGGGCCAAGTAAGTTGCAAGTAGGTTGCAGAAGGTAAATCTTAGCAGGGGAAGGGAGAGAGCTCTGGACCAGGAATCCAAGAACCCCAGGAATGGGTCCTGGCTCTACTGTGGGCTCACTGACCTGAAGAAAGGTCCTTTTCATCTCTGGGCATCTGAGCAGTGAGGTTTGGACCAGATTCCAGAATGGTCCGTTTGGGCACCACCATTGTGATTTTGCCTTACATAGTACCACTGATGGTGCTATTGATTCATTGTTATCTTTTAGTCACCTCAGTTTTTTAACTTAAATATCTTTCCAAATGCAACTTAATATTATGAACATGGTTGGAAAATCATTATCATTTAGAAATAGAAGTTAACAGAAAAAAAAAAAAATGCAATGAAAAGACTGTTATTAAATTTTAGCAGGATGCCATTGCCTGGCTCGGGATTAGTCCTGTGAAGGACCTGCTCACAGCAGCTGAGACTTTCATCTGCAGCCTGTCAGAAGCCTCAAAGGGGATGCAGACAGGCTCTCTGCCTAATTCAGTGCAGTGTGACTATCTAGAAACCCCAGAATACCACAAATGGTCACATGTCCAACTACTAACCCTAACGTTTACAATTTTAATCTACCCAGAGGTGGTTCAGAGGAAAGGTCTGATGGTTTACTCCCCAAAGGAGCAGGTCTCCTTTTCACACATTTGTTGTTGTGACATGCCGTTGAGTCGGTTCCAACCCATAGCGACCCTGTGTAGGGTTTCCAAGGAGCAGCTGGTGCGCTTGAACCACCAACCTTGCAGTTCAAATAAATTTGCAGTCTGACCCATTAACCCACAACGCCACACACTTTACACATAGGGTCACCAAAAGTCACAATCAATTTGACACCCACTGGAGCCATCGAAGATACCCCCAAGTTTGGTCTAGGGATTCTCTAAGGGCCGTTCCAGCTTTGATCCCAAAACATCCACTACCAGGGTCCCTTGCCTACTTTTGCCTAAGTTCTGACCACCCCCACCCCAAATCCTACCTCTGGCAGCAGGCAGCTACAGGCACCTGCCCCGGAAAGCCATGCTTGTAAGGAGTGCCAAGAACCTGACCCAAAGGGTTTTCTTTACCAAAGGGCTCCTTCTGCTGGGCACTGGGCACCCAGCATGCTGAGACTCCACTGGGGTCATCAGCCTGTTCCCAGGCAAGAATGACAAGCTATAGTGACAAAAACGTAAGAAATTTTAAACTTTGGAGCATCTCTAGAGAGCTGATAAACTAGCTCAAATATACAACCCCTTCTCTGGGCACCCTTGGGGCCAGCCCACCTTTACCCCGACTGGAGCCCAGAGTGGGAGCCAGCAATCCACACCTCACAGCCTGCTGGGGATCTGGGGATGAATGACCAAGAGCAATGCCAGTGGAACCCCAGCAGCTGGAATGTTCAGGAGCCCCTTCCTGCCCCCTAGGAGATGGAGGAAACTCTGACCTCCCTCAGGTCACATCAGCCTCCCATAGGACTGGCCTTGCAGGCCTCGTCTCCGTGACCATGCTCCTTTGTGGGGACAATAAGGAGAAAAGCACGTTTTCCAGCACAAACCTAAAGTCCCACAGAACTAGCGGCCTCTAGGACCAATGAGCTCAGGAATGTACCCAGGAGGCCTGAGGATCTGCTGTGGGCCAGTCCTCTGCTCACATACCCCATCTCTCCCCATCCTCACAGCTGTTCGAGTCACCGCAGAACCAAATGTCAGAGGTTAGATGATTTGCCCAAGGTCACACGACCAGTAAAATCGAGAGTATTCAATGCCACATCTATGTGCAAAAAAAAGGAAGTGCGAAATTTCGCACTGTGTCTCTCTAGTTCTGGATGAGTAAATTTGTGAGTTTGTGAACAAAACTACTAAGAGTTTGTGGTTTTAAAGATTGAGTTGAGGCAGATGTATGGTAAGAGAAGGAGCGAGGGAGGAAGGGAGGGGTGGAGATGAACTGGAGACTGCAGTGTGGGGAGAAGGAGACTGCAGTGTGGGGAGAAGGGTACTGCAGGGATACCTTCCCCCACTGACACCCTGAGCCCCTTCTAGGTCATCGCCACCATCCCAACCAGCAGGCTCAAGTTCCTCAAGGAGGCAGGAAGGCTCACGCAGAAGGAAGAGATCCCAGAGGAAGAACTCAATGAGGATGTGGAAGAAATTGACCATGCCGAGAGGGAGCTTCGACGAGGCCAGATCCTGTGGTTCCGAGGCCTGAATAGGATCCAGACTCAGGTAAGGGAGCCTCTCGTGGCCAGGCCATTGCCTGTGGGGCTGGAGGTAGGGGTGGAGATGATCTCTAGCTTCCATACCCCCACCCAGGGTCGGCATCTGGTGCTAAGGGATTCTGGTTCCAAGCACACCAGCCACCAGGTCCCAAAGAGCTCTGGCATTTGCCACAAGCCACCACCCAGGCTCCAAAGTCCCTTGTCCTCTGGCAACTGTTTTATTTACTCACATTCCTCACATACTCTCAAGCAGTTCCCCTCAGCCTGGTGATAATTGTGGGGCAGGAGGACTATTTTAAGAGGGCAAGGGGCAGGCAGGAACTCTGGAACTGAGGGAAGGGCCATGATGGATGCTGCCAGAGATATGGACCAAAACTGGACCAGGCTGTAAAAAGTGGCTTGAAGCCAGAAAGCAGCTTCTCCCAAACCCCAGGGCAGACCGGCCAGACATTGGCAGGTTTGCAAAAATAACACACACTCTGAGACACACACGAACTCTCAGGACACATGCTATGAGATACTCTCATACACAGGACACATGCTCTGGGAGACACACACTCACAGAGCATGTTCTAGGACACACACACACACTTGCAGGATACACAGTGTGAAGCGCACACACTGTCTTATGTAGCTCTCCTTCTGGTTTCTATCAAACTTCCACAGCTGTGATCACAGGGATGAATGGGGAGAGCCAGATCAGGGAACTTCATACTTACCTCTATACCCCAGTCACATTCTGGGGCACCCACATCAGCTGGAATGGAGACAGGGAAAGCAGCAGGGCCGGCCCCTATTTGAAGGCTCAAACCTGTAGCCTGGCCCTGTGTCTCCCCTGGAAAGAGCCTCTGGCCCTCGTCTTTGGGGCAGTGAGTAAGCCTAGCAGCAATGTGTCTCCTGCCAACTGGGCTCCAGTTCTTCCACATTCTTGGTCCTTCCAGTGGCAGGGGCCTCCTCACAACCCTGCACAGGGTCTGTCCTTCAGAAGGAAGGCCCCAGACCCCCAACAGGGCTGCCCTAGCTGCTTGATTTCTGACAGAAGTTGCCCAGAGAGTCCACCTGGGCTCTACCTGCCTGGCCCATGTCCAGGCTCGGACTCCAATTCATGGCCACCCAACAGAACCAACAGGGTTATCACTTGCGCTGCTTCCTACCGGGTGCTGGTCCCACACACACCTCATTTACCTTCACAACCCACCCTCCCGAGAGGTAGGTGTGACACCCCTTGGTTAGAGGTATGTGAGTTGAAGAGATGAGCCTTCCTGCCCTGCTGGCACAGCTTGGGGCTGGGGGTGGGGGTGCGGTGGGGACAGGTTTCAGATACAGAGATGCTTAACCAAGGCTGGCTCTGCCCCCTTCCCTGGTAAGATCCCAGTAGCCCACCCTCCGAGCAGTACGCTCTTGTACACCACCCCCACAGCCATGTCCACCAGGAGTCTCCAGATCTATACACCTTCCTATCTAGCCTGGCTTTTGTCAAGCACTAACATGGGACAGGAGTTCTGGTGTGGCGCTGTGGGTTAATGTTGGACTGCAAAGTCAGTTTGAACCACAAAGTCAGTGGAGCAATTCAAGCTCACCCAGCTGCTCCTCAGAAACCCTACACAGGGTCACTATGGGTTGGGACTAACCCAACGCCACTTAACAACAATAACAACGTGGACCAGATGCTTTGCCACTTACAGATAACCCTGCCACATAGGTGGCACAGCCCCAGCTCAGAGGTGACCTGCTCACAGTTAACTATCTAGTAGGTGGTCTGTCCACTGCAGAACCCTCCCAGCCCACACCACCTACTCTCTGGCCTCCAGACACAATGGCCAGCCCACCAGTCCCCAACCACTCGTGTAAAAAGAGGCCGGCCCCTGGGATCCCAGGGCCCACAGAGGGTCCGGAGCTGAGCAGATGTCTTTTCCGAGTCATGGAGTGTGTCTGGTATTTTTTTGTTTTAATTTAAGTGACGTTGTTGTCACCGTGGCTGCGGCTGTTCTCGTGACGTTGCCCCTGTCAGTTGTGTAGCTGTTGTGTTCGTTCTTTTCGCAACTTGTCTCGTTCTCTCCTCCGTTGCAGATTGAAGTAGTCAATACTTTCAAGAGCGGGGCCTCCTTTCAGGGGGCCCTCCGGAGACAGTCCTCCGTCACCAGCCAGAGCCAGGACGTAGCCAATCTCTCTAGCCCTAGTCGCGTGTCGTTGTCCAATGCTCTTTCCTCTCCGACCAGCCTTCCTCCTGCTGCAGCTGGGCGTGAGTCTGACTCCTTCCCGCCGCCGGCGCCACTGACGCCAGCTCCCGGGCGGGCAGGCGGGCAGGCGGGCAGGGGCAGGGGCACCTAAGGACATGGGGGGCACAGGGGCTGAGGGGTCACAATAGGTCAGGAGATGGTAGCCAAGTCAGAGGCGCCAGGGCCAAAGCAGGGGTCTGAGTCAGGGAGTTAGAAGGATCACAGCTGGCCCAGTCTGAGTCAATAAAAGGATCATCTCTGGTCAAGGAGATTGCAGTGACCAATGGTCCCAATCATCCCAAGGTCATATAATCAAATGAGTGCCCCAGTCGATCTTGGGCCATACTTGGTCAGGAAACAAATCGCTAGCAAAGGTCAGAATTGGTCAAGAGATCACAGTCTTGCAGTCAAAGTCCCAGGGGTATAGTTGGTCAAGGGATAAAAGTTCCACAGTGGAGATCCAATGTAGAGAGGGGTCGGTCATTCAGGGTTTCCCTGCTGGCCAGGGAGCACCCATTCAGCAATAGGGGTGATGGCCAAGGGGGACAGCTGAGCAAAGTACTGTATCAGAGGTCACAGTCCGACCACCAAGGGTATTACACAGCCTGGTGACCCCACCACACCAATCAGCACCCTCTGCTCTTCCCCACTATTCCTCCCCTGGCACGTCCACAGCATCAGTGGCCTTATAAACACCTTCTCTGCAGCAGGGGCTGGAGCATGCTAAAGCTCTGACCCTCCTCCTCCAGGAAGGGATACAGCTCTTCTCCCATTCAGCTGGGCCTCCCTCAGACAGTGTGGGCCATGCCCCGTGTCTTGCTGGGTACCAGCAGCCCTGAGGGATCTGGTCTCATGCTCAACCCCCTGCCCTTCTTTATCTGTAGGAGAGCCTGGCACTCCGACCTCCTCTTCACCTCTCCCCTACTGAGTTCATCTCCACACGCCATCATTTCTGACCTGGGTCTCTCATTTCTGGCCTTGTCTAGATCTTTTCTGAACCTCTCCAAGGCAGCCCCATGTGTGTCAGCATAGAAATATGCTCCATAGGGCTTTTGATGGCTGATTTTTTAGAAGTCCATTGCCAAGTGATTCTTTATGGACTCAAACCTCCAAGCTTTTGGTTGGCACCTGAGTGCATAAACCATTTATACCACTAGGGACCCCCTAGCTCCAAACAGGCCCTACTAAAGGATTCCCCTTAGCTCCGCTTGTTTCAGACTTGCACAATGTTGTTCATTTAGCCTCTAAGTCTGGTACCTTGGTATGTTGTAGTGTGCGGAACACACAGCACAAACCCTTGCCACTGAGCAGGGACACACTCATGTTCAAGTGATGACACTTCCATTCTTACCTCTCTAACCAGAGGCACGAGCCACAAAGAACCCACTGGTAGCATACTGTCATGTTGCGGTCCTTTCTGTGAATGCAGTTCTACCAGGTGTGCAGCTGATAGGAAGGATACAGAGACAGTGTTCACTCATCAGTACCAAGGTACAGTGGGGGTGGGGAGCTGGACCAGCCAAGGAGAAACGGAGGCATGTTTGAGTAGATGGCATCTAAGTCATGTTTCCATGAGGTACTGTTGTGGTTCATCTCAGGACAAGAGTCTTGGTCCCCGCTCGCTATCCTTTCAGACTAGAGAGCCTTTGACCTTGAGGGCAACCCTCATCCAGCTGACCCCCACATCAGCTCAGCATCATCACTTGTCTTAAAGTGTGATAACCACAGTGTCTGCACAAGAGACCCCCCCCGCCCCCAAGGGATATAACACATTTCTGTGGCTTCCTGCCACCCCCGACCAAGAGTTCTGCATCCCTCTGCCTGGGTCTGACCACAAAGAATCTGGCTGCTGGTTAGGGCACGGTTCTTAGCCCAGTCCAGCTCCTCTTTGAAGTGTGGAACTTCACACTGGCCACAACGAAGCTCAGTTAGTGTCCTTGAGCACCCAGGGAGCCTTGGAGCCTTTGAAAGTCTTGCCTTGGTTTATCATCCCCATCTTAGCTTTTACAGTCTAGAGAGAAGAGCTCAGTCATCTTGAACCCTGGCAATTTCATTCTCACCTTTTTCTCTGGGGCTATTTACTTAAAAAAAAAAAAACAACACAAACATTGAATAAGGCCAGTGCTGAGACAGTTGCTTCTCCTTTCGGAGAAATGCCTCTTTAGATAGGTTTTTCACTTGCTAGCTTGAAGTCACTTTCCTCCAGGTCAGATGAATCCCTTTTATCCCATAGTGACTCCAGCTGGGACAGCCTCTGAAGTGAGGCCGTGGCAAAGGCTTCATAGAAGCTGACCTCATTGTCCTTGCCCACAGCCCTTCATTTCCCTAGCCACGACTCACCGGCCAGTACCCTGCCTTTCTCCTAACATGATACACACCCCCCCAGAATTCTGCATTCTTCCCCTTGATTATAGAAACCAGACTGTATTTGTAGCTCACTTCTAGGACTCCTCCTGGGAATATGGTCTCAGAGAGAGCTTGACCATTCTCCTGCCCAAGGCACTGGTTCCCAGGGGAATCACAACTCTGTGATTACAACATACATATTTTGGTCAACTCAGTCCCAGTGCAAACTCTAAATAATTATCCCCTAGTTCCTCCTTTGTTTGAATAGTTCCTCTAGCAAGGTTACCTTCTCTAGTTCCCAAGGAATCTGAGGGTCCTCTAGCTACCAGATAAGGTCCCATGTCTGGTAAGGTGGGGAAGGTGGGAAGCAGGACACTTGGTAGGAGAAGAGGCCCTAGGTGGGCTAGAATGATAAGGTGAGCTGCTGGAACTCGTTCCTGGGGACTCTCCAACAGAGAAGGGAGGTCACATCAGATCCAAACTCTTAACAACCTAGGGTATGTCCACCCTGGAACAAGTTAACCACTGTCCCCTCCATAACCACTAGGACAACAAGAGCTGACCACACAGCCTAAGACAGGGCAGTATGTGCTCGAAGTTGACTCACATTTTAGGGGATTAGGAACTCCCCCGCCACTTTATACAGCCCCCACTCAGCCCCACCATGAGAAGGGAGAAGGTCCTAGGCAGACAGACATATATCATAACCAGAAGATTCATATCCAACTGACTCCCAGGGTGTTCAGGAGGGGACTCTAGTCTGCTTTCTGCTTTTCTCCTCAGACTTACTGTAAACAAGTTTGTCCCCACCCTCATCCCACTCCCACTCCCCAGAAACTCAATGGCATGCCCCTAATGCCTTATACTTGAGTCTTACTTAAAATTTCCCCCACATCTTTCCATTCGTTTATGTCTCACAACCAAAACGTGAGGAGGGCAGTTTCTATCCATGTATCCATCTCACAGAGAAGAGACAGGCTCAGAGACAGAAAGTTACTTGGCCAAGATCACTCAGCAGACAACCAGAAAGAAGTCTAACTCCTAAGTCCCCCATTTTTCTACTGTCCACACTGCTCCATAGACGAGCCCACAGACCTTGTACCTACAGAGGTTGGCTTCTCACTCACAGCCTCATCCCTGTTGAGACGAGCCAATTCTCCCTGATTTCGAAGGTCAGGGAAGCTACTCTCCATCTGGCAGGGAGTGGGAAGCAGGAAACTTGCCTGCTGGGGATCAAGAACAGTGTTAATATTCAGCTCTTTGGTCCAAGGCCATGCCACACAGCCGCTTTCTGATTCCCTCAAATGCCAAGCCCATCTCAAATTATCTTTGTATTTCTGCAAGTCTGTAGCAGGTCTAGTGTTCATCCATGAGCATCCTACTCTTTTGAACCATCTAAGTTAAGAGCATCTTAATCCAGGACCTGGCCAATTTTCTCGATGCTAGATGAGGCATCTCCTGACCCACTTCCCTTCAGACTTGGTTCTCAGCACAGTGAGGGCAAGGAATTGGCATCTCTTGGAGGGGGAGACATGAACAAGGAAAAAAGGAAAGGAAATTGGACCTGTCATTAGCATTTTGGTAACTGATTTAGTTCAGTCTTGGGTTGGTGAGAAAATGGCTTGTTTCTGGGGTTGGGGATCCTAGAATTCTCCGCTGTCTGAATATTCCATGTGTTTGTTTCCCTAGAGGGCTAGAGAACCCTGGACACAGAGTTCAGCAAGAGAGAGTGAAATTAAAAGAGGTTGTGAGTCTTTAACCTTGAGCCTGAAATGAATGTGAATCAATCCCAGACTCTTGGCTTCCTTGAAGCCGGGTAAACATTCGAGTATATTGAACCATCCCAGACCAGGGCCACTATATTTCCTCAGAGCCCTCCATGGGCATGGGTCCCGCTGCTTCCTGTGTGCCAATGAAACCAAAACGTCTAAAAATCCCACTCAGTGGTACTTTCCTCTTTCCTCTCACCCCGCTGCCCAAATGCGGCTTTTGCCCTTAAATCCCATCAATAGGGTAGTCAGGAAGGGGAGATGGAAGAGCTTTTTTTCTTCCTATACTTTTTTCCATTTCAGCCGCGGAGAGAACCGAAGTGGAAACATGGCCATGGTGGGGTGTCCCGAAAAGTCTTGTCCCCACAGTCTTGTCCAGAGCAGTCCGTTCTTTCTGTTGTCTCCATGCCAGGGTTTGGGCGGAGGGGCCTGCATCGCATTGTGTGTTGTCCCTTTTGCATTGTCAGTCACATGACAGGGTCCTGCCATGACCCCCTGCCCCACGGCCAGATGCTCCAGCATCTATCTCATTGAGCTTCAGTCTCAAAACGTCTGAGCAGTAAGCTGGACAAATGCAACGATTGTTCTCAGTCCCATTTTGTAGACAAGAAAACTGAGGCTTGCAACAAGCCTTTTCTTTTTCACTTAATCAAGAGTGTAACCAGCCACTTATTAGGAGACCAAAATATTTATCATCTCTACAGAGCCACAGATAGAAAGCCAGGGGAAAAGAGATACCAGAACAGCCAAAAGGGTACTAAAGCGCGGGGCCGGCCGGCCATCTTGTGTGTAATACCCATTAACTGAAAGCACAGGTCCACCACACAGACTCCCTGTCCTCTCCAGTTCAGTACATAGGAAAGTCAAAGGAAAGAGCTGCTTTTTTTAGGAAGCAAGAAGTCAGCACTAGTACATGATGGTTGACAGAGAAGGACAAAAAACTAAGACAACTGCCTAAACTGTGGGTCTTTCTCAAGACCACGAAGGAGTTGTGAGCTTGAAGCTCAAGTCAGTTCTGTGTGCTCTAAAGTCAAGCCTAGGCTTTAGAAAGATTCCCTTTGAATCCATGAGAGAAGCTCTGATGATTAAAGTCATCAACCACAGCCATTCCCATGGACCAGGGCTCTCCCTGCCAGTACCCCACACAATGAGCGGGTTCAACTGAGAAGCGATACATCCTGGGGCCTCTTCACACCTGTTTCATTAGTCTCAGCCTCCCTCAGGCCCCTGTGGTGTTGGGGTCGCTGCTCTGCACAGGGTCGGCTGGTGCTCCTTCCGCCCGGTCTGGATGCCGCCTTGTTTCCCCATAGCTGGCTCTGTTCTGAGTGGGCTAGAATGAGAGAGATGCTTTGTCCAGAGCCCCATCGACCCTTGAGATGACTGGGACCCCTCCCCATACCCCGTGAAGCAGTGTGGCCTGCCCATGGTCTGGACACTACTGGCCGGAGGATTCATGTCAGAGATCCCCTGAGGCTTAGGTGCAGGGTTCATGACTGAAACCCACTTGCTCCACGTCCCCAAGAGCCCCACCTGAGGTTGGGTTTACCCATTTGATTCTGGCTTCATTTTTTTTGTTTTGTGTTTCCAAAGCACAAACAGGGAAGTAAACAAAATACCCCAGGAAATAAGGGACCCCAAGGCAAACTCTTATGCCTGGCCAGGGCTTTGACTCTATACTCGAGTGTTTACCTCCTCAATGCATGAAGGAAAGAAACGCTGGGTACAAAAGACCTCCGTTCACATTGTCCAGGCTTCCAAGTGTAGCTGTGTGCCTGTCTGTGTGTGTCGTGTGGTTCCTGCCCCCACCCATGGCATGCTCCCACCCTGAGTGTCCCCGTCTGCTGGCTCCCTCGTGCTTTCTGGCTGCCTTTGCTCTGTACCTCAGAAAGCCCTGAGTTGGCTTCAGTTTGCTTTGCTGCTTTTTGGTTTGATGTTTTCTGTTTGGCCCTCTTGTGTCTTCTCTCATCCCCGGTCACCCCACTGTCTCTCCTTTCTGTTTCTTTTCCGTGTGTGGCGCACAATCTGTTCCATGTTGTGTGGTTTCGTAACTATGTGTGTTTTTTACAAGTTCTTTTTTTTTTTTTTTTTAAATAGCCTCTCCTCCTTCCTACTTGATTCCCACCTGCCCCCGTCTCCTCCACTTGTGCATGGTTGAACCTCTGCTCTAGAATTAACAAGGCTCAGTCTCTCACTAGGTGTGGGTTCCCACCGGCGTGGACCATGCTTCCTTTAACCATGTTTCCCAGCATCTCTTTGATAGTGCTTGATGACTCTTAATACTGTAGTACTGACCACAACCAAAGCAATTTTTTAAAAACCAACTGCCTCATGAATGTACATCACCTGACTCCCCCTCCATTCCCCCTCTTTCCCTTCCTGCTGACTGTGGATTCCAACCACCTGCCCTCCCTCTTCTCCCACTCACCCCACCCCAAATGCGGCCACCAGCCTCCCAGAGCATTGTTTCTGACTCCACCGCTTCCCTTGCAGATCCGCGTCGTGAAGGCGTTCCGTAGCTCTCTCTATGAAGGTTTAGAAAAGCCTGAGTCTCGAACCTCCATCCATAATTTCATGGCTCATCCTGAATTCCGGATCGAAGATTCCCAGCCCCACATCCCACTCATCGACGACACCGACCTGGAAGAAGACGCCGCCCTCAAGCAGAACCCGAGTCCACCCTCCTCGCTCAACAAGAACAACAGCGCTATCGACAGCGGGATCAACCTGACAACCGACACAAGCAAATCAGCTACCTCTTCAAGTCCAGGGAGCCCCATCCACAGCCTGGAGACGTCGCTTTAGCTGAGGACCCCCAGCGCCCACCCGAACACCCTCACAGAGCCCACCGCCACCCACCCAGGCACCCAAGACAACAAGCAGCAACGAACAACAACAGGAACCCAAACACGGGCGAGAGAATCCTTGGGTCCACCCCACCGATCCTTTCTCTAACTGTGATGCTGTTTAAATTCTTTCTCACCTGGAGGCAAAGGGCGGGGTCTCTACTGGGGGCTTACTGGGAGTGAGTGATTTGTCAAAAATGGCCCTTCCGGGCCCCCACCCGGCCACCACGTCCCCTGCATGAATGTACTGTACACTTCCAGTCCTCCCCTGGTTTGGTTTTCATGGGTTCGGGGAGGGGGTTTTTTGTTTGTTTTCTTAGGCGGGAACTGCAAATGGACTCTTTTCTGAGACTATTTATCCAATCCACTGGTCTGTGAGTTTTTGAAATGCTTGTGCAGCATGGTCTCAGTTGTATAGATTAATTTAATAACTTTTTGAAATTGCAGAGCTTAACTCGCCTAGTAAATTTGCACCAATGGAACCGAAGAACTTCATAGACACTCACAAGGTTATATCATTTCTTTGTATCTATATCAACGTATATGTCTCCAAGACTGACTGTATACGTATACATATATAAGTATATATATATACACACACCCATGTATGTGTATGTATGTATATATATATATACATGGATATATATATAGTTTCTTTGCCGGCATGTTGCCTTGTTTCCGCTTAAATTGCTCTATTTTAACTTATTTATGTCCTAAAAGAAGAATGTAATTTGTTTACAAACCTGTAGATAATGTCTTTGGCTATTTGTACGGTTTAAGAACCCTGGTGTCTGAGATGCTACTGCCCAGACAGCTCAGCCCAACAGACACTTCTGGATTGCATCTTGGATGTTTTATGATAGCCATGCTCTGATTTTTGCCTGCTATTTCCGTTCAACAATGTCACTACTGCGCACACTCGCGCTGGAGGCTCAGGCAGAAACCAAACGCTGCTGAGTATCCATCCAGAGGGCTGTTCACAACATGCTCCGTAGACAAAGGGAGAGGAGGAGAGAAGGTTTCCTAAGTTCACACCACTAACTGCCATCCTGACTCAAGGATGACAGGATCCAGGAAGAAAGGGTTGAAGACTTTTCTCTCAATGAAGCTCACTTGAGTTTACCAAGAGCATTTCCAAACTAGGTTCCCTTTGACGCTGTCTGTACAGAGACTGGGGGGAGTGTTCAGCTATTATAAAATGCTATTGTGTTGATTTTTTTTTTTTTAAGTTAGTAATTTGGAGGTTTATTTCCTTACAGATGGCAGCATCTGAGCTTCAGCATATAGATGAGGATCGATCGGTATGGCTTGCTGCTTTTATTTTTATTTCTGAAGAAAAAATAGCCTTCTTCTCTGCACTATTTAGATCCGAATGAACTTTATGATGTGTATATTGAAATGTATTCAGTGTGATTTTTAAACCAAATTGTCTTCCTGTAGTCACAATAGATACTGTAGCCTTTTAACAAACAGCAAGTCTTGCTTTCCCAGACAGAAAGCCATTCTGAAACCCTGAAGTATCAACAGATGAGAAAAGGTGGTTATTTTTCCCCCAAGACAATAACAGCTCTAGCAATCCCACTTAATAAGAGCTTATTTAATTGTATGTCCGCCTCTTAACTGCTAAGCACTTTGTGGGTCTCAGCTTTTTTCATAAAAAGAACTTTTGTATTTAATACAAAGTTTGCTTTGAGACTTTTCAGCATACGATCTTTTTCCATAAACTTGTACAGTGCAAAAGACATTTTGAATACCATGATCGATGATGTCCCATGCTTCGAGGAAAACCAAACACTTTCCGCCTCGCTTGTGAAACTCATTCCTCACGCTGACCCTGCCCACAGTGGTTCGGTGTCTGCCCGGCCCCTTCCTTTCTCCGGGCCCAGAGAACTCTTCCACAAACACAATGAGATTCCCTCCCCTCGGGAAAAGAGCCATAGTCAGCTGGGAGGGACTAGATCTGGATGGCTGCGGAAAAACTTGAGGGCTTGGGGTCCCAAGTCAGCCAACCCCACAAGGTTAACCCCTCCTGACAGGGGAGAGCCTTCTTTGTGAGAGACCATCAACTGAATGTCGCGACACAATCTCTCTGAATGTATCCAGCAGAGGAAACTGCACCCCCAAGAGGGCCATCACCCTCGGGCGTGCTTATTGGATTCACCTACAAGTTCCACCAAGAGCCGGCCAGCTGAGCTCCTCTGAGGAAGGAAAGCCTCGAACGTGTGAGGCACGGGGCAGCCTCAGAACATGGTGTTTCTAAGGAGTTTTCCTTTCTCACAGTTTCCCATCCTCACCCTTTTTTGTTCTAATCATGTGTTGGTGACCTCATTTGGTGACACCAGGATAGTTCCATTTGTACAGTGTGGACCCTGTTCGTCTGTCACCGAGATACAAGGAAACCAGGGGGGCCCTCTGAGTGGCGCCTCACTTGGGGAAATAGGGAACAATGGAAGCTACAGAGACTGTGTGACGTCAGTGTTGGTCTTTTCTTGTCAGGAATGACGGATTCTCCCCCAGACACCCTCACTCTCACACGAGCACACACAGCCACACACACAGGAAACGATTGGGTTGTCCCAATTCACTATAGTACATAAAGCTTGCACTCTGCGTCCTATATCTAGCAGCATGGGGTACGTTTGGCAGTTCACCCCACTAGGGGGTAAATAATTTATGACCATTCATCTGTTTTTATGAATTTTTTTATCTAGACAATAATTGTAAATAAAGAACTCACCGTCTCTGTTCATTTAATACTATGCGAGATCACGCTTTCGATTGCTGACTATTCTTACTCCCGCAGGCGTGGTTCTGAAATGTTTGTGGTTTTCTTTTTAAAAAAAGGCAAAAAAACAACATCAAACAGAACATAGTAAGTATGTGCTCTGTAATGTTGATGTTTTTCTAGTTTGGGACAACCCTGTCCACTTAGCTTCTTTTCTGTCCTCTGAACAAGGGCCCCAGGAGAAGGTTGTACACCAGCTTGCTTCCCTGGATACATGAGGGGAAAACAGGCAGTCTCAGTCAGTGGTCCCTGGGGCTGTGGAGTCACCTTCGAAGGCGGGCTGGGAGGTCTCTAAGGAGTTTCCTTCTTGCAGCTGATCCGGAGCATTCCCCCACTACCAAGTAACCCCGACTGCTCTCACCAGCCCCACATGGTGGCACCTCTGCTCCACCAGAACACAGAGCTGCTAAGAGAGGGGACACCCTGTTCTGAGAACAGACTAAATGACAGCCCTGGGGCAACAACTTTGTACCTCTCTGATCTTGGGTATCCCAGCTCTTAAATAATGGACACTTTTCCCCATTTGTTTTTGAAATGCCACCTCGACCACATTTTGATATCTTACATAGACTTTGGTTGATTTCTGGAATTTCTTTTCTGTTCCTCTCTGGGCCTCTCATCTGGCACAAGCCACATGATTTTAATTATTGTAACTTTAAAATGTTTTCTTATTTGGTGTGGCAGATCTCCTTCACTCTTCTGGTTATTCTCTGACATCTATTCTTCCAAGTAAACTTTAAAATTTTGCCAAGTCTTCCACACCCTATCTTCTTCCCACCCTAAATTCTAGGTCCTGTCATTCTCTGTACAAACCCCTTCCTTCCTTCCGTTGTAGTTTCTGCCCACCCAGTACCACCAGCTACAGTATGTCCTCTAAAGAAGAAACAAAAAGGCATCCTCTGCCTCTTGAAGGAAGCTGAATGTCCCCTCCATCATTTCACCTGTCCTTTAAACCCAGGAGTTGTGAGGAAGGCTACTGAACCCCTACCCACCTTGGTTGTTCTGGGGTGGACCCTCCATCTGCTCCTGTCCCAGAGTCACCAAGTAGAATGTGTGACCAGTTTCTGTACATTCTCATCAGGGAAACACCAGTTTGTATCCCTCTCTCCTGAACTGATTCTCAGAGTCCACGTGGCAGGTACCTCAGGGTGCAGCAGTTCTTGGCCGGACCTTCTCACTGGCCCTATCCCTCCTCTTCTTGCTCCACCTGTAGGAGGCTGCCACCTGGTGTACGCTGAGGAGCACCCATCCCTACCCCTTCCCCAAACCTTCTCTCCTACCAAAATGTCTAAAATTTCCTGTGTTGGGGAAATGGGCCTTTAGAAGGCTTTAGGGTCTTCCAGAGCCAAGGCCTAAATCAGACAACAGCATGAAATTCCCAGGTCTTTCCCAAATTCCAAACCAAACTCTCCTAACTTTCTGGTAGAAATCCTACCCGCTCAAGCAGGGGTGGGTGGGAGAGTGACCCCAGGCATCAAGCATCACCCCTTCCACCAAAAGCAAGATAGCTGAGGGGCCACCCTTCCAACCCCCTACGTATGTTTTGTAATGCTGCGGTGCTTTTTCTCTGGGACCTGGAACTTCTGAGGGTCACCGTGCTTTGCTAACTCCTGTGTGCACATATTTTATAATGGAGAGAATGGTGCCGCCTCCAACCTCCACAGCCTTGGGGACTCTGGGGAAATGGGGCTGGAAGTGACTGTGCTCTTATTGTGCTCTTTGATTTCTCTGTATCTCTGGCTATGCTCTTTGTAATTCATGGGATTTGTCTGCCTTTTCAACACTATACTGAGCAATAACAATAAATGCACACGTGGAAATGCAGACACGGTGCAGACCACAAGGCCTTTTTGCGCAGGACAGCGGGGACCCCACCCCCCAGAATTTGAATTCAAAGGAAAATTGAACCCCTGGGAGGGAAAGGCACTTGGCCCAAGTGCACAGTGTCAGTGGGTGGCCTCTCTCCTCCCACCAGATCACCCTGCCTGGAGAGTGTTTTTACTCATTTGAGGGAGAAAAGTTTAGCTCACTTTCAGTCCCTAACCCTCCATGAGGAGTGGCCAACAGTCCCAGAGTGCAAGATTTTGGGAAAAGGGGCTTCCAGAGGTGGAGGAGACTCGGGAGCATACAGGCTTGTTGAGGGAAGTGAGGAGAGAGCTAAGAATGGCCTGACTTGGGTTCTAAGATTAGCCAGAGAAAAGGGTGGGAGATACAGACACGAGATGCAGGTGGGATGGCCTAATGGGTAGGAGGGAGGCAGAGGGGAGCCTGGCACCCAAGAGTTTATACTTTGCAAACCTCTGGTAGTGTGGTAGTCATGAATTAGGCTGCTAATCTCAAGGTCAGGAGTTAGAAACTACCAGCAGTTCTGCTGGAAAAAGATGTGGCTTTTCGCTCCCGTAAAGATTTACAGCCTCAGAAATCTTCTACAGGGTCATTATGAGTCAGAAGCGACTCCATCGCACATAACCACCACCATTGAGTATCAGCAGAACAAGAGAATGTGCGGAAACTAAGAAAACAGTCACCCATGTTGGGCCAAGGGTGGGGCGGGGGTCTCAGATGCATGCTCGTGCACACATAGACACACGTGAACATACACACACATGCACACTCTTCAGATCTTAGCTTCTCGGGGAAAACTAATCCCCAAATCAAGCAACCTAGGTCCATCCAACGGCAAAATACTATTTCACATGCAAGGATCCATTAAATCCCAACACCAACCATGGGAGGAGGTGAGTTGGAACTGACTCCTGGCACATCCTGGCACATAACCATCATCACCATTGCTAGGCATAACGCCCACTTTACAGAGGAGGATCCAGCAGCTCAGAGAGGTGAAAGATGTGCCCACCTAGTTAGCAGGTGACATAGTATTTATACCTAAGCGGCCTTGATTCTAGAACTTGGACTCTGAACCTCTCTATTATAATGCCTGAGGGCCTACCAGCAAATATTTTAATGAGTAAGATACAGTTCCACTGATTGTCCCAAATCCCCATCTCTTCTATGCCAGTACCTACACCAGGACATTCCTTTAATAACAGTATATACCATTATACCCAATTCCCACTTCAGGCAAGTGAGGCTCATTGGTGCAGCTATAGACCCAAGACAAGAGAACCAATCATAGTCCTGCCCACCCCCACCCACCCACTTTGCTTGGGGATCCACCATGAACACACACACACCCCTGCAATAATTCCCCACTAGAGGGAAATAAGGACTCCTGGTGTGGCACTGTACGATCATCACTGTACTGCTAACTACAAGGTTAGCAGTTCAAGCCCACCAGCCACTCCTTGGAAATCCTATACTATGGAAATCCTATACTTGGAAAACCTATACAGGGTTGCTATGAGTCCGAACCAACTCAACAGCACTTAACAACAACAGAGGGTATGATCAGTCCTCAGCTCTTGGGTGGGTGGAAGGGTGATTTACTACCAGAAGGTCTGACCAAGTTCTGTAGCATCTCACTCTCCTCCACAGCTCCTTGATAGTCTGGGTCTACCACACTTAACATCCTCCCTCAAGTGGGAACTATCTCCAGCTAGGGTACTTACCCTCATTTTTAAGGAAGGAAATTGAAGGTTGTGCCTTACCCAAGGGGAGCCTAGGCTCCTCCTATGTCCCCTGACTCCTTAAAGCCGTGAGGGGGTCCAGAGGGCCCAGTGCTGCTAAATCTTGTGTGACTGATGGGAGCCTCAGGCTCTGTCCAGAAGAACAGCATTTTTTCACTGTGCTTGTGGGAAGCCCTCAGTTTCCCTTCTTTGGGCAGCGAGGGGAAGGAGAGGGAGGTTGGAAGGCTGCGGATTGGGTCCTGTTATCTAGCTGCCAGAACGGTTGAAATCCCTTTCTACTTGGAAGACCTACCCGACAGGAAGGCTCTCAGGAACCTAGACGAGGGAAAGGAGCAGTTTGGAGGAGTTGGTCCTGTGGCTTAGGGAGGATGGGGCAAGAGGTCTCGGCCTCTGACAGGCGGCATTCCCGGGCTTTCTCGGCTGCCAGTCCCCGCTCTTGGGTCCTGAGTTGGGGCTAACTAGGAAGCACTAGGACCAGTGTACTCACCACCACCCCCAAATTAATCAATCTACAATAGTCATCATATTGTCGATCGTACTCAGAACAGCAAGGGAGGCTAGCAAAACTGTAGTACGAAATCTTTTCTTTCTTTCAAGTGATACTTCTCAAGAAAAGGGAAGGACTGGTCAGGAAGAAACACCAGCCAAAGGTTCAGATTCCAAAAGGTCACAGGTCAGGGTCGTCAGAAATAACAGAGCCCCACCCATCGGTCAGAAGGAGCTCTGGTAGCTTAGTGGTTACGAGTTGGGCTGCCAACCTCAAGGTCGGCAGTTCGAAACTACCAGCGGTTAGGCAGGAGAAAGATGAGGCGTTCTGCTCCCGTAAAGATTTACAGCCTCGGGAAATCCTCTGCAGGGTCGTTATGAGTCGGAACCGACTCCACGATACTTAACAACAACCTGTCTGTCAGAGGTTTCGTAAGGGGCGGGGCAACTGGAGGGTGGGGCGGGGCCTCCGGAAGTCACGGAACCTTTGTTTAAGCCGGAGCGGGTTACCGTGGGGAGGATGTTGAGTCACGGGCCGACTTCGCCGGAAGTGAATCTTTTGGAGGCGCCGCTGGGAGTTGCCACGTCTGAGACCGGGAGCTGCCACCGTCGCAGTCATGGTGAGTGTCAGTGCCGCGGATGCGGAGCCTGGTTCGGGTTACAATCGCTGTCCTAACAGAACCTGCCCCCACGGGTTCCTTAACTGATCTGAGGCTCAAATTCGACACTGCGATTATTCAGATCTTCGCTACTGTTTCGAGGTTTGGGGGGGTCTGGCCCGCCCCTCTGGACCTGTCGGGGGGAGAGGCTAGCGTGAGGCTGCGGACATCCCGGAACTCTACATGCCGCTTCGTTGTCGCGTGTCCTTGTCTTCCCTCGACAATTAAAAAACAAAAACAGTACAACGTAATGACTACTGTATCCCTAGTTGTTAGTAAGTTCCGTGCATTGCTCATAATATCAGCCTTCAGCTGTTGGATTTAAGGACTGTTGTAAGAAGACAGCTCTTAGAGTGACAAGCTTTGAGGCTTGGAGTTAGGAAGTAGGGCTCATTCCAAAATCTGTGGCTGTGGCAAGTACTTTTCTTTTTGAATCTGTCAGCCCTGATTAACTCTAACCTTCGTACCTCCCAGCGTAAGAGCACTTTGTAATCTGGACTGCTCCTCACACACATGAGACTCTTCTCTTCGCCCTTCTCTTTGCTGACCTTGGGTTTACCAGCATTATCCTCATTAGGGAGTGTAGCATTTGATAAAGGAACCTGTGTACACGTGATGTGTACCCTTCGAGCTGCTTTGCAGTCATCCTCTTCTACGGTCCACCTTTCTGAAAAGTCAAGTCAAACTTTATACCTGCAGGGATCATACGGGAAAAGGTTATAGACATGTCAGTTCCCAATTGAAACCTCCTTTTCAGTGCCCTTTTCCATCCTCAGAATTTATGAGAATAGTGGTCTGTTTTCATTCATTTAGTAATTCAATAAATAGTAACTCAGATCCTTCTGTTTGCAAACACTGTTCTGGATGATAGGAAGGGATTCAAAACTACAGACAACTCAGACTTTGACCCCAGGAAACTCACCTTCTAATGGGGAGAAGAAACGTGTAGCATGTCATAGACATCCCCTGCTGAAGATACTAAAAATAGCATAACTAACTGGGGGGATCCGGGACTCGTCCAGAAGGGGGTGTGATTTGAACAGGACCTCAACACATGGGTGGGAAAGCAAAAACTATGACAACCATGTTCTAGCCCTACAGACTGCTCAACCCTGTACTCCACTCTGACAGTACAGGGAGTAGCCTCAAGAGGAGCTTGAATCAAGTCTCCAAGACTTAGTTAGGTATTAACCCTGTTATGCAGAAACTACCTAGAGCATCAGGACTCTGCCATCCTCAAAGGAAAGTCTGCCGTAGCTCCCTTCTCCCCCTCAGTGGTAGTCTGGACTGCTTGCTCTTCTCCTACACACATCAACCTCTCTCAGACCTTGATTTCTTGGTCTGCACTATCCTTTCTTGCTCCTCGTGCCACCTTATCATCTAAGCCCTAGTTCCTGTCCTTTTCTGCCACCTTCATCTCAGAACCTACTTAAGCCATTTATATTTAGATGCAAACTTCTCAAGGGCAAGACGTAGCTTTTATGCAAGTCTGTCTTTCTAGCCCCTGCCATGTTGTTGTTAAGTGCTATCAAGTTTAGTAGAGCAACCCTGTACAAGGTTTCTAAGGATGGGCTGGTGAGTTTGCATCATTGACTTTGTGCTTCAAACCAACCTTGTGATCCTGTGCATATCCTACAGTGCCACACCAGCACTCCAGTCCCCGCCATAGTGCTTGGCAAATAGAGTGACTTTCGAGTGAATAAAGAATGAACAAATGGCAGTCAAGAACTGTGATTGGTGGCTTTAATGAGAAGATGGCATTCTAACCGCCATCAGTTCATTCATTTGCAATATCTTTGCTTCTAGGTGTCAGTAATTAACACCGTGGACACTTCCCATGAGGACATGATTGTAAGTATTCATTCAGTGCCCCCAGAGGCTGTGGACACAGGCACTTCTGTTGGAGGGATGCAATTTGTGTGTCTTTGTCTTGCTCATTCATGAGCCCAGGTGTGACTTTGCCTCTTTTTCCAGTGAGACTATACCCACAGGAGTTAGGGTCAGCAGACTGGGCCTCTGAGCTGCCCAGGCTGTGGGTCTTGTAGTCAGGTGGGTATGGAGCTTTCCCAATCATTTTTCCAGCTGTCTTCCTTCTGCTGCCAACCCTTAGCTCCAGGGAAAGGGGACATGAAGGCAGAGGGAAGCTATGCCAAGAGCCCAAGATAAAGCCAGGCAGGACCACCAGAGACCGGGCAAGGCCCTGTGTGCCAGAAGTTGTGAACTGAGGGCATTTCCTGAGAGGCAGATGCAGGTCTGCAGGAGTGGGTCCTGAGGTTAAAGTCCCCAAAGGAAACACACAGCCTGCTTCATGTAGCACCGGCACTCCAGGCAGCCTTCCCACACCAGCCAGTCCATTTACAGGGTTTTGTCCTGCCCAGGCATCCTGCCCTCAGTACTAAGCCAGCAGTGGCTTTGGAGTGACTTAAGAACATGCCAGGTCTCAGAATTGTAGACGTTCCTGGATTCTTTAAAGCCATACCCTTTTGGGGTCAGCATGGTAGCATAAGTAAGAAGGCCTGTCAGAGATTCCCTAGCCAATCTTTTCTTTGTTCTGAGCCAGCCACAATTTCCTCCTGGCTCAAGTGGGCAAGATAATAGCTCAGCTACCTACTCATATGGACTTGGATCAGAACAGATGAGGCAGAGTAGTAATGACATCTGCCTGCTTACTAAGTGTCGGCCCCACTTTTCTTTCAATATCTCACATCACCTTCATGACAGCTCTAGAAACAGATGCCATCAGTAGTCCCAATTTAAAGATGCGAAAACTAAAGTTCAGGGCAGTTTTATAACTGCACAGCAGATAAACTGAGGAGGTAGGATCTAAATCTCTCAGCTCCAGGGCCCTAAATGGTCCCAGAATGTGCAGTGGCACTCTGCAGATGGACTCAGGAAGTACATGTGCAGAGAGCTGTCTTGGCATCTGAGATAGCAGGAGGGGTGCCTTCCAGAGAGAAGTCAGGATGTTCCCTGGGGTAAAGGGGTGAGCAAGGGTGACTAGAGCAGACATGTGGGACAGCTGAGGAAAGTGGCATCCCCTGGACTAAATAAGGCCACTGAGCAGGAGAGCACAGGTATTATTCAGCCTGGGCAAGAAGCTTAGTGCCTCAGGAGCCCTACCCAGGATGGACAAGACGCCTTGGGCAGAGCCCAGCCTGGGTCTGGCTGGTCTGTCAGCTTCAGGCAAGTGGGTTCCTGGGTGACCAGAGCAGCTACACTGAGGCACTGTGTTCCTCAGGAGTGGGCCCCAGACTACGACAGAGGTGAGGCCCAGGAGCGAAGGTACACAAAGGATCCGGGGCCATGGAGGAGGAGGTGGTTGTTGTTAAGTGCCATCATGTTGGTTGCTACTCATAGTGACCCCTTATAGGGTTTCTGAGGAATGGCTGGTAAGTTTGAACCTCCGACCTTGCGGTCCAGTGCTTATTCTATAGTGGGTAGAGAAGCCCAAATACCTGAATGGGACCCTGTGTCCATCATGGAGGGCCCAGTAGACCCTTTGAGTCAGTCAGAAATCTGCTAGTTTAGGCAGCATTACCCCTAGGTTCTGGAGCTGAGCTGATCCTTTGGGCCAGGGTCTAAACATGATAGGGCCTCAGAGGAAGAAGAGGGCCCAACCAGCTTTTTTCTTTCATATCTACCCTGCAGACAGGATTTGAAGGGGCCTTCCCTGGCATATGTAGAGAAGCTGTAAAATCAGCTGGATATGGTTTGTTTTGTCCCTTTCAGAAAGACATTGCCTATCAGAGAAGTGAGAAAGTTGTCTTACTAGCTTCCTGCTATCCAGTTCTTTGAGAATAGATTTATTTCAAGTAGTCTGGTCCAAACTAGACTTTCTGTGGTGGTGGCCAGCCTGCAGACTTCCCGAGCTGTCCTCCCTTTGCAGCATGATGCCCAGATGGACTACTATGGCACCCGCCTGGCAACCTGCTCGTCCGACAGGTCCGTCAAAATCTTCGATGTGCGAAATGGAGGGCAGATCCTCATTGCCGACCTCAGGGGGTAAGTGTGGCCAGCCCAGGGCTAGGTCTCAATGTTTTGGCCTCTGAGGCCTGACCTCAAGCCTAGAAGGGATGGATGAGCACACAGTTCAAGCACCCTTCAGTGTGTTTAACAGAGATGACCCCAGGCCCCAGCTACCGAGCAGATGCCCCAAGATTTATCACTCGGTTAGGGGCCCAGGTGGGCCCAGGGATGAGTCCTGCTCTGGCATCCACAGAGGACCTTGGGAGGTGAGTCAGTTTACCTCTTTTGAGCTTTGATCTGCTCTACCACAGAATTGGGGCCTAGGAGTGTGTGCCCTGTGAGGGCATGGTGTCCAGCACACAGTAAGCCTTCCAGAAGTGCAGCCATTGATCCTTTTGAAAGTGGTAAACAGCACTATCTTCTAGTCCACATGATCTAGTCACTCAAAGAATAATGCCACAGATCCCATAATTCTGCCTGTGGCAGATGTTTCACCTACTCTTCTCCAGTTTAAGATCTCTACAAGTCCTTTCTCTGTCATTTTGATGGGCACCCCTCTACTGCTGTCCCTTCAGTTCACTGCCTTTCATGCCACTGGGATCTCCCAGGGTTCTATGGATAGAATTCAGAGCTTGACGAACTGGAGTGGGGGCAAAAAAAATGACTTTATTTTCGGTGCCGCTGGTGCTGAGCATTTCCTTCAATTACAGACGTAGGTAGGAAACAACTGTAGTAATTATGGTGCTTGTCACTGACACCAATAGAAGTGAGATGTTTTCATGTCACGTTTCAAACATCTGAAAATAGCACACATGTGTCCACTCTGAAACTGCAGTGATCATGCCACTGGACCATGTGACTTCATGTGCGTGTATCACCGTAAGCATAAACTTACTTGACATTTTTAATAACTATCTCAATATATTTGGGTTTCTTTTATAATCCTAGTGAGGGTGGCACTGTAGGATAAGCTACAAGGTTGGCAGTTCAAACCCACTAGCTGCTCCGCAGGAGAAAGGTGAGACTTTCTGCTCCCGTAAAGATGTACAGCCTCAGAAACCCTATACCGGGTCGCTGTGAATCAGAACCGACTGGATGGCTGTGGGTTGACTTGTTTTTTATAATCCTACTTCAGTATCCAGTGTTTTGTCTATTCTGTGAAGGGGCCTGTAGCCCTCAGTACATGTTTATTAACTAAGTTAAAGAAAATACAAATCAGAAGTTGTTTGGGGAAACAGGTCTCAAAGTTATCCTCTTGCCAAATGTCAGAAATCGAGTGACCAAGAAGCCAAATGGCAGTTTCCTGGTGCTGGGAGCACCTGGTGGAGCAGAAAGCTGCTGGAGTTAGGCCTGGTTGCCAACTCTGGCTGAAGTGGTTGTGTGTGCGTGGACTCAGTGCTTTCCCCTGTGCCTTCTTTTATGCTCAAAGGCTGTGAAATATTGGAGCGATACAATATTTACACCCCGTTCTTTTTTGCCCCAGGCAAAACTAAGCTAGTTTTTGGGAATTTGAATGACTCCCAGTTTCCCTAGCAGCTCGTTGCTAAGGACGAAGGATGTACTGTTGACCCAGGCAGAGGGAGGAGGAGGAGACTGAGTATCTCCAGTCCTCGTGTGAAGGAGTAAGCAGGAGTAGGACCGAGAGCTACCCAGGCGATGCGTAGGCTTTGGTTTGCTTAGTCGGGGTTTTTTGTGCCTAAACTGTTTATATGAGTTCTCCCAAATATTTAACCCACGTGACTCACCCCTCTCATGAAGGGTGATAGAGACTGAGCAGAGTGTCTCTGTTCCCTAGTTCTGCCATACCATGACTACCACAAGTGGAGGCTTGAATAAACTAGTGTGTTTTCTCACAGTTTCACAGGGTTGAAGTCCCAGTTGTAGAAAAGGTCCTGTCCCCATCCAGCATCTGTAGGCCTACGTTCCTTGGAGATCTGCACATCTCTTGGCATCAGTCTTCCCCTGGATCTTGGTCACAATGCAGGGACCCCAAGCCCAAAGCATGCACTCCACCCCCGGCATTTCTTTCTTGGTGGTAGGTGAAGTTGTTGCTGAATGCCATCTGTCTCGGTGGTAGGTGATGTTGTTGCTGAGTGCAATATAGTCGGCAGCCCTAGGCACTTCCCAGCCCTGAACCATCCTCACAGTCCATTGCTGCTGCCACTGTGTCAGTGCATCTCATTAGGGTCTTCCTCTTTTTCATTGCTGACCCTCCACATTACAAACCATGTTATAGGGACTGGTCCCTCCTGATGTCATGTCCAAAGTATGAGGGGGAAGTCTCGCTTTCCTGGCTACTAAGGTGGTATTTGTTGTTACGTGCCATCAAGTCAGTTCTGACTCATAGCACCCTGTATAGGGTTTCCAAGGAGTGGCTGGTGGGTTTGAACCACTGGGTTAGCAGTCCAGTGCTTATCCTGCAGCACCACACCAGGGCTCCAAGGTGGTTTCAGGTTCCTCCTTTTCTGCTCAGGCCTCTCTCCTTTTCTCTGGCATAAGGTAAAAAGTGCTGCAGTCCACACCCCCAGGAAACGTTCCTTACATTGGATCAGGGATGTGACTTGAGTAAGGGTGTTGCATCCAACGCAGTTCTCCTTACAACTGATTGGGTGTTCACATCATGTGGGTGGAGCCTGGACTCCTGACCCCTCCTTCTGTGGACTGATGCGAGCTGTCCCTGAATCAGAGAAGTGATTCCAAAACAAAGCCTGGCACAGGCTGGATGATAAGTTTCAGTCTTATCCATTGAATGCATAAAAACCAGGAGAAAAGAAAGCCATGCGTTTTGCACAAATTTTTAAAGTAGTGGAAAATGTGAAAATGAAGCAGATACAGCTTCCTCACAAACAAGGAGCAGCAATTCCATGCCATCTGCCAGTGTTCACAGAGCACGTGGCGGGTGCAGACCCTAGATTGCTGGGTGCCATCTGCCAAGTATAGTTTCTGCCCAGTCGGGTCAGGGAGGCTGATTGCTGCTGTAACCTCCACCAGTTACTTAACCTCCTCATTGCCCAGGGAGAGCCCCTATGGCAATGACAGTCTGTAACTCTCTCTTCCAAAATCATAAGCAGTTCTATCCTGAGCTACTGACTCAGCCTACCAAGGAAGCCCTTCAGTTTTGTCCAGAACGGCTTGGCAGGAGCACTGTGGGCTCCCCCGGCCTCTCTGAGCAGCCTCTAATCTCTCCCTTACAGTCATGAGGGTCCGGTGTGGCAAGTAGCTTGGGCTCACCCCATGTACGGCAACATCCTGGCCTCCTGCTCCTATGACCGGAAAGTCGTCATCTGGAAAGAGGAGAATGGCACCTGGGAGAAGACCCACGAATACACAGGACATGACTCCTCAGGTACCTGGAGGGGACGGGCCAGGAGCGCTGCAGGGTGAGGCCTCTGTTGGAGCTGAACCTCGTGTCCCTCCTCCTCCTGGCTTTCCAGCTACTGTGCCTATAGCTGAGGTCAGGTCCCAAGACCCTAAAACCGGTCCACAGCAGAGTGAGAAGGGTAAAGGCAGCATGGCGAGCCTTTCTTAAGGCTGAGCTTACTCACTTCAAATGCTGACCTTGTTTACTCACTTCAAATGCTGACCTTGTTCTCAGAGTGCGGGCCTTCTCATTTTGTTGTTCAGACAGACTTTAGTTAGTGTCCATAGCTGACAACATTACAACTTAACTTGTTACTGCTCCTACAGTTGTTTTTTTTAGAAATTTGATTAAACAATAAATCTGGGAAATCAAAGCCTACACCCTGCTTACTGCACTCCTCCCCTACAGTGAACTCTGTGTGCTGGGCGCCCCACGACTATGGGCTGATCCTGGCCTCTGGGAGCTCCGACGGGGCCATTTCCCTGCTGACCTACACCGGAGAAGGCCAGTGGGAAGTGAAGAAGATCAACAATGCTCACACTGTAAGTCCAGACCCTGCCTGCATAGCCAGTTCTCGGTCACCACATGTGCTATAGGCCCCTGGAGAGTGACAAGGTGTCCCTGCTTTTGGGACCTGACAGTGCCGAGTGGTGTAAACAGGAAGTTTTACAGGACTGTCGTTCCCGGTGCGCCTAGTCATTTTAGCATTCAGGTTAAAATAGTCGAGTAAGCATTGTGGGCTCTGTGTTGGGGGGCACTTCACCTTCTTGAGCCAAGCCATCCTCACAAATGAGCAGCCCAGCACAGTAAGAGGTATCAGTGGCTCAGAGAAAGGAAGTGAGTTTAGAAGGCACCGTGCTGGGATTGGAACTCATGAATCTGGGCCATCAAAGCCTTCTCCATATAGCAATTCTAGACTTTAATGACCCCAAACACTTCTCAAATCTAAATTCTTTTGCCACTGTGAGTATATCTTGAAATCCTGAAGAACCCACAGCTTAACCAGCCCTCAAGGATGTCTGGAGCCTTGGTACTTGGCTCTGTGATCCTCATTTGTTCCCCTATTTGCATAAGTGAGTAGGCTAGCAGAGGCTTCTGGGAAAATGGTGGCAGATGGCATCATAGTTTTTCATTCTCACCAAATCTACATGTAAACACCAGCAGCAACTGGGGAGCAAACTGAAACCTCATGAACAACAAAACTGGGTAATAAGGTCTTCCCAGCAATTCTGGAATGCAGCCACAAGGCCTGCAGACCATTGCTACCTAAACTGGAGGATGAGAGAGGAGGCCACAGGTGCCTGTAACAGACCCAGAGTTGACGACATCGGGTATCCAGAGAGTACAGCAGGCCAACTGTATCAGATCCAGTGGGTCTTAGTATAATCACAGAATTGTATAGCTGTCAGCTCAAGTTTCAGAATATTTCTACCCCCTTCCAGAAACTTACCCTAGTCCTAAGCAGCAACTTAGCTACTCTCTTTCTCCAGATTTGCATATCCTGAACATTCTCTATAAGGAGTGTCATGCAATATTTGATTTCTCAGAACAGAACATTTTAAAGGGTCATCCACTTGATGACATGTGTTCATACTTCACTACTTTTTTTTTTTTTTAAGGTTTTTATTGCGGATTGAGTGAAAGTTTACAGGGCATATCATCAGTTTTACATTCAACAAATCATATACCTTGTTTCATTACATTGATTGTAATCACCTCCATGTACCATCAGTTAACAGTATTTCTCTCTATCCACTTTAGGTTTTTTAAAGAAACACAAACAAAAAAACCCACTCAGGCATATATAATAATTTACATCTCCAATGGGCACATTCTGCAAGTCTGCTCCTGGCTACCAGCTCTTAGTCCTTCTCTTCTTAGTCCATGAATCTAGAGTCCTCAGCCACTCCCCCTCTCCATGCCCCCATCTCTGTCTCCATCTCTGGTGCTGCTGCATCTCTGGATAAGGTCCCTCACTCTGCTTGTGCGTTCCTCTCTTGATGGTCCTAGGATCCTCTGTTTCTGGACTGTAAGATTAACCACTCCCTTTTTTTGTTACAAAACTTCTATCTTTACAATTGTGACAATCACAATTAGTCTTGATAACAGTTATTCACTATTGAATCTTATGAATGTTATCCCCATCTCTTTTCACCAGATCCATCTGGACAAGATGACAGCTGTTCAGTGGGGACTCTTTCTTGTTCCCCATACTCTTAAGCTAAGCTCCCTCTTGAAACCTTGTAAGCCAGTCATTTCGTGCCTTTTAGGCCCCCTCATTTTAGGTAGCCAATGTCTAAGTTGTCCGTTCCTATAGCATTGAAACTTGATTTGAAGACTCTTTCCCTCTCTGTTGGTATTTAGAGTAACTACCACTCTGAGTATAGGTCAGGTTCATCATGAAGATGCATTATCTGTCACTGTAGCTGTTCCAGTCTGCTTGTCCTTTCTAGTGGGAATGTCTCACCTCACAAGGTTGTGGATGGGACTCAGGATTCCACCTAAGGTCCTATACTCTGTAAAGGCTTTGCATGAGGCCTATTTCACTGGGCAAGCTGTAAAACCCCTTTTAGATATTCCAATCAGTTTAGGCTGAAGGTGGGCTTACAAGTTTTCTCTAATCATGTTTCCCAACATTCCTTTTCTATCCTACTCAAGTGTCTGTTTTACAATAGTAGGCAAGGGAAACTAATATTCATAAGGCAGTCAAGGATTTTAGTATTATTTACCCTCTTCAAGCTATACCTAGATCCCTGTATCCCAGAGCCCTGTTGTTCCAAGGTTGAGTATGCATCACTATTTACCTCTGTCCCATTAGGCCATGCAAACCTGTCTCAGTGTTCCCCTATCTATCTTGTTTTCCTGCCTCCTCCCCCTTCTTGTATTGCCCTCCCCAACACCCAAAGTAAACCCCCCACCCCAACCCCATTGTGGTTACCTTATATTCCATTAGTTCTACCCTCCATTTAAGACAGTCTATTTTATCTAGTGATCTACCTGACCTTCCCACAACCTGGATCTCTGTTCTTCTGTATTTATCTTCTCTCACATTGTAATTGTTTTGATCATAGACTGACCTCCCAGATCCTCTGTTCTTATCATTTTATTCTGTTCTTGACTCTTCCATTTGTCTACTGAGTTCAGGTTGATGCTGCCGTGTACATCATTCTGTAGTTATTGTCTGTTCTTGTTGATTCTTAGTCCACAGAGCTTCCTTTAGGATGTTTTTCATAGCAGGGTTGGCTTTGGCAAAATCCCTTAGCTTCTGTTTTATCCTGGAATGTTTTGATTACACCATCGTATTTGATTGACAGCTTTGCTGGGTAGAGGATTCTTGGGTGGTAGTTTTTTTCTTTCAGGGTTTTATATATGTCTCCCCATTGCCTTCGTGCCTGCATGGTTTCTGTTGAGAAATCCAATCTTAATCTGATGTGCTTGCCTTTGTATGTTATGTTTCTCTTTTCCCTAGCTGCTTTCAAGATGCTGTCTTTATCTTTGATTTTGGAGAGCTTGATTATTATATGTCTTAGTGATTGTTTTTTAGGGTCTATCCGTCCTGGGGTTTGTTGAGTTTCTTGAATGCTTATCTTTTCACTTTTCATGATGTTAGGAAAATTTTCTTCCAGAAGCTCTTCAACTATCTCCTCTGTGGACTTGTGTGATTGTTCCTGTTCTGGAATGCCAATAATTCTTAGGTTATTCCTCTTCATGTTATCCAACATGAATCTTAGGCCTTCTTCAGATTTTCTTATCCTTTTTTGTATTTGTTCTTCTATCTTAGTAGTGTTGAGAGATTTATCTTCTAGCTCACTAGTTATGGCCTCTATCTCTTCAGTTCTACTCCTTTGCCCTTTCAGTGTATTGTCCATTCCTGATACTTTGTTATTAATCATTTGGACCTCTTTCTGTAGGTTTTGAATTGTTTCCAATGCTCTATCTATCTTATTTGATTGTTCCTGTAGTGCTTTCCTGACTTTTTCCTTATTTTTCTCAACTCCATTGAATAGTGTTTTGATACATTTTATTATCACTTTTCTGAATTCCTTCTCAGGCATTTCCAAAGCCTGCCCATCTTCCAGTATGGAGTGTAGGGCTCCTTCCAGCTCATTTGCCTCAGTCACTTTGTCTCGTTTCTGGACATGTGCAGATATGGTCATCTGATTCTGTTTTTTAGGCATCTTCAGAGGTTATCTGTGGCCTTACGACTCAGACGGCTATGTATTTTGGTATTTTTTATGCTTTCTGATTGCCTCCAGGTAGATATGATAAGGAAGTGGGCTTCCCTTTTCACTCTTCTTGAGAAATTTCATTTTGACGTAACTTAGGATTTAATTTTCGGCCTGTTTCCTTTTTTGTCTGCTTGTCCCACTCCACAATCCCTGTTAAGGCCTTTTTTCTAGTTGTAAACAGTTCAGGGCCAGCTGTGGCCGTTTGGTTTTAATTGGAAATTGTCTCTTTAAATTTCAAGGAGATCTGTGCGCATGCCGAGTAGAACCCTCCGAGGGTGGGACTGGGGTGCCCACTATAGTGCTCAGGCACCCCTGTAGTCACCTGAATGGAGGTACACAGACAGCAAGGGACCAATGAACAGCTACCAAAAGAGAAGACTATCCAC